CAATGTCATTACTTCAAAGGTTTATGTGAGTATCAAGTGCCAACTCAATTCGACAAAATGCAACATAAATGCCACACTCCACCGATAAAGATTTACAACACCCAACACCACTAACTTTTGTTCACAACACGGACAAGCTCATGCCACTCTCTATCTGACCAAACTCAAAACTAATCCAATACCAAGCTACTCAAGGAGCAATAGCAAGGTTCCCCGGAAAAGAATTGAGCATTGCAACCCAAGTTTTCCAATAGCAAGCTTAGACAAAATGGTATAGTGTTTCACCACTATCTATCCCATAACTCACCATTTGTAAGACCATCATCTCCAAGATGCATCAAGGTAGGGAATCTTGATTGCATATTGTGAACACGAGCAATGAGTCACATCTCGTTGCAAATCATCTCTCCAAGAAGAAAAGATGATTTACGTGTTTGATCCTTCGTCCCCGATGACTCTCTTTTCGGTCTCATCTTGACTAAACTTTAAGTTTGCTTTCACACTGCCTTTAGTCCAATCCAAGAAAAGTTTATGAAAGAGCACGGCAATAATTACTTGAATCAATTGACTCATCCCTATAGTCTTGATTGATCCACTTGTAACCATGCCTAGGAAGGATCCACTAGTGCTGTGCTAAACAGCTACGGACCAGCCTATTTGCCACTCATAGCAAACCCAGGGAAAGTTTGCTTTTACCCACGGTACAAGGAACAACTCATGGAACCACCGATAGGCTAACATTAATCCTGCCAACTCAAAGTGTAACCTCGAGTTGCTAATGTGCCTCACTCACGAGCCCAAGCTCAAACTCGTGCAAAAGGAACATCTCAAATCCATCCTATGAGCCCAAGAGCAAGCTCACATTATTAGGTACAAAAGGTAACCAAAACCATACCTAAGGAACGAATGTGAACCCTTTGCACCAAACGTGTACCCACTCGGATCATCGTTTTCATCTCTGCGTATGCAACGAGACTAGTTGCCCAATCTCATTGAATAGTACTCGCTGAGATTCGTCCTCTGATACCAAATGTAGCGCACGTGGTTTTGACCCTTTATCCCATGGTGATTTACCATAGGATAACACCACGAAGCGGAACCTAAACCCTCTTTGTGCCACGTGACAGATGCCACATGTCACATGCCACGTGTCCATGCCACGTGTCCATAAGAACCCGAGGTTCAGGGCCTTGGGCCACTGAACGAAGGAACGGTGCCAAACTCCCAAGCATAGAGCCGAGGAGTGATAGAACCGAACCACGGAGCAACTCCCGAGCATGAAGCCCAAGGAGCGAAGGGACAGGAGCCTGGAGCGACTTGGAACAGTCCTGGAGCAACCAGCATCCCAATGCCAGAACTAGCATGCAAAACGGAGCCAAACGGAGTCTGGCGCTATTTCGGTATACCGGTGGCCTAACGTGAGGATATGGGTACTCCACCGACTAGCATGGAATGGAACTTGGGCTTAGACCCAAGCCGGACGCAGAACAAGGACAGGCACGCAAGCGGGAGCTAGACTATGCCTCAGGTTGGTTGGCCATGCCCAACCTACCCACTATCCCTACTATACATTTGGAACCCCCCACAGCCCCCCCCCCCCCCTTGAGGAACACACGCTTTGGGCTTTCACCCCAAGCCTCCCTTAGTATCAGGAGTTAGTCTCTGGAACAAGCTCGAAACTTACTAAATATGGAATGTCCCTCGATTGCGAATTTGGACACGGGACGAACACCATTGTGTTCAGGTCAATCTCTACATTCCGTAGATATACCAAATGAGCAAATCTGGACACTTTCCATAAATAGCATTTGGGACCGAAATGAGACTAACACAAAGGGCATGATAGCGAGGGTGTTTGGCAGACACGGTAAGCTATCATCTAGCGATATTGAGGGACCAAACTCAATATTGCGGGGGTTCCCAACACTAGCAAGTGCAAGTCAACGAATGAGTTTCTCTAACCAGGTCAAGTATGCTTGACAAATAGCACGTAGGAATTCCGTCCTTATGCTCATCTGGTCAAGTGCACACGCGAGGACCAGTTTCTCAACTAGCTTAGGCAGAGACTGATAACGGGTCCAGCAATACCGACCTCCTGCCATCGTGGCAGTAAGGTAAGAGTGTCCGTAAGGACTAGCCGACAGGTAACTTTCGATACCCGAAGTCACATTCGCGACATATGTCCATCTGGGCAACAAAGTATAGAGATAGGTCCAAGGAATTCCCATGGACTTCTCATGCTCACTTTTATGGTGTAACCTATATCTCTTCTATTTTGAGTACAACTTTTTTATTTGACTTGCACAATGATTTACTCTATCCTTTTTAACACACCTTTAGGTATATGAATAATCTAGTTTCAATGAACAATCTTATTATCCTTTGCTTCCTTAACCCAAATCAAATTGAGTCTGAAGGAAATCTATTTTAGATATATCCACTATAATTCCTCGCCATGCAAAACAAGATGGATAATCCATTTATTGGTATGGCTGGCTTGCTTGTGAATCTGTCGGCTCATTTCTTAAGCATTCAGATGTAGATCATATGGGTCAATGGTACTTTTTTAACAACAAAGTGTGATAAGTGAAGATCACTTCCATTTCAGATCTTGATGTACATCCATCGGAACTTTAACCGCTTGATTGCAAATGCATCTAAAGTAATTTTGGGACAAGTATTTGCACTTTTCTATTTGATCAACATTAGTGGTGTCGTCCTTGAGATCAATAATCTTGTTGAGTGCTTTGTGACAAATGGATTCCATCGATTTGCACTAAGATGGAGTCTATATTGGATTATTTTAACCTGCCCATTGACACCAGTACAAGCAATGTTTAACATTCTCTTTGACCTTTGGAAAGAGCTAGCAAATCACCCACCACAGTTTGACGACTTGGCAAACTTAGGCTAAGAGTAGGAAAATCTATTATCTACTCAACACATTCTACTCCTTAGGCATCTTATTGAAACAAAAATAGAATTTAGATTCTATGCCCTTTTGGAAAAACAAAAAAAAGTGTTCCTAAAACTTATCATGAATTCCTTGGTTGTGCTTGGAACAAATGGCATAAATAAACTATTGATTAGGTTTGTGTTTTGTTCGAAAACTGAAAAATGTAATATAACTCTAGTTCCTCCAAGATGGGATAGTCTCCATGGTTTGATAATAAGATTTTTTTAACAAAAAGTCTTGTTTACAAAAACTCTGTCATCCCATCAACATGATAATGGGACATATGAATAGACGTGGCCTGGTAAAAAACAAGACTTTGGATTCTTTTCAAAATCTTGCTCTGGGAGACATGTTGTATAGCTAGGCAAACCTAATTACAAGCCTATAGCTATTCAACTTCATAGCAGCGAGCGTTGGATTTTCTCACACCGAAAGGTATGAAGTGACAAAAAAGACCATAACACTAGGGTTTCTCACCTATATCTACTGCCACCGCATTCTCCAGGAGCGCATCCACAAAAAAGCAAGGTTGGGCAGCTGCAAGGTTGTGCGCTAGCACAGCCATGTGGATTCTTTGCCCACACTAGGATCAATAGCCACTTTGTTGCACATCACAAAAATGAGCAGTGCCAACGAAGTGTTTGCTTGGGTCTAGCTCAAAATGACCCAAGCAAACACTCAGCCTATAGGAAGTTTTTACAGCTAGAGCACAAGAACTTAACATGGTGACGCAAGGGGAAATCACTGACTCTGCTTAGGTAGCGCTTATGAGATCAACTGATCCAATGTCTAATCACCCCCTTAGAAAAAGGACAGGACAGATGGTTAGATTCATGAAACAATAGAAAGTGATCAAGTTAAACATGTTCTTTAGATTCAGTTTTTGGAAGTTATTTCTGATGTGCAGCCTGGACATGTGCCTGAGTACATTGGCTAGTGAGTATTAGTCATGCAAATCTCATTTCATTCTTGAATCCTAACTTTGTACTTTTACAAAAAAAAAGAGATAGATTGCATTACTAATCCTTGTCTTCCATGATACAAGATGATGGATGATCTTGATGAAAGTACCAAAAATGGCCTAGTTGATCTGCTTAACCAAGAATGGCCCTACTTGGAAGGGTTCAATGGAGCATCTCACCTATTTGAAGTTTGAGAATAGGTCAAGGGCATTTTGCCCCCAAGGCTTCTAATCATTTGCTTTACCTGATGAAACTCTGTAGATGAGCTCTAGCTATCCTGAGGGAAACTTTGGAGGGAACTAATTACTAGATGGTTTGATTAATCTTTTGGCCCTATACCCGAGTCTGACAAATGATTTGCACGTTAGTATTGCTACAAGCCTCCACCAGAGTTTCCTCTAGCTTCACCTTGCTTATACATAATTTTGGGTCCTAACAGGTATGCTCAAACTCAAACCCTTCACAAAAGGTCAAGGTTGCTCTGTATCCCCCCAGATGGGGGGATCACACGATTCAGACGTGGATACATATTTAGACCCCTTGTCTGTATTTCAAGACAGGTCAAATGGAACACTCTGACAGCCAATGTTTGCCAAAGCATTTGATCCAATCACCAAAGAGACAGAAGCCAAAAAAAAAAAAAAAGCTATTACACATTCCGGAAGTGTAATCCAGAGTTACTATCCAGTCTTTTAGCAGCATCCCTCCCAATCATGACCTGATCATCTTTCACATTTTAGCATAAATCAAACAAAATAAAGAAATAAATCGGAAATATAAAACCGATTAACACCTCCTCCGGAACAGAGGGTCGGTTATGCATAAGAACATGTGCTACAAATAAGCCGATATAAAAAATTTATTACATCAAAACTTTAATAGCTTCAAAGGCCAAGACCTTGATCCAAAAATATACAGACCAAACAGACACTGGTTTTTGCTCTATTGTAAGCATAAAAGAATATAGAAACTCAAAGTGAATATGAGAGTGCCAGCAAAATTGTCTTAGAAATCTAAAAGATTCTGCATGTTTCAATCCATTCTAGAAATTTAAACATTTTTTTTTTGTGTAAACATCAGTGTGAAGTTTACACTTTGATGTATATTAAGTGATTCTTTTCAGTTTTGTAAAATTATTACTTTTTTTTATTTTATAATAATTTTGCTGCTTCATATATTTCTACGACGTGGAGGGTGCGGCCGTCAAATGCAGCTTGGCAAGAGAAGCATAAGCGCCACCTTTGATGCCAATCAGATCGGCATGCTTCCCCCTCTCCACAATCGCCCCGTTCTTCACCACCGCGATCACGTCCGCGTTCACAATCGTCGCCAACCGGTGCGCGATGACAATGCTCGTCCGCTTCACTTTGATCCTGTCCAGCGCCTCCTGGACCAGGTGCTCCGACTCCGCGTCCAGCGCACTCGTCGCCTCGTCCAGCAGCAGTATCCTCGGGTTCTTGACGATCGCGCGGGCGATCGCTACTCGCTGCTTCTGGCCACCCGAGAGCTGGACGCCTCTCTCCCCGACTCTCGTCTTGTATCCCTCCGGGAGCCCCGAGATGAACTTGTGAGCGTTGGATGCCTCGGCGGCGGCCTGGATTTCCTCGTCGCTCACCGCGCCTTCCTTGCCGTAGGCAATGTTCCACCGGATGGTGCCGTCGAAGAGGACCGGCTCCTGGCTCACCAGGCCCATTTGCTGCCTCAGCCACTTCACCTGGAAGTTCCTTATGTCTATCCCATCCAGGAGAACTTGGCCAGAGTCCGGCTCGTAGAAGCGCTCCACTAAGGATATCAGTGTCGACTTCCCGCTACCGCTCTCTCCCACCAGTGCTACAGTCTGAGAGAACAACAGATAAGTTTCTCTTCTGAAAGATCGAGCAATTGTGGTACCTTTCCAGCAGGAATGAGTAGCGACAGGTCCTGGAAAATGGCCACGTCCGGCCGGGATGGATACTTGAAGCAGACGGTGCGGAACTCTATGTCACCTTTGATTAGTTTCAGTGTCTTTCCTGACTTGTCAAACGGATCTACTTTGGACTTGCGGTCCAGGAGAGAAAAGACGGAGTTGACGGCGGTTTTAACCTTGGCGATGTCTGGAGCCATGCCGGCGGACTGAGATATTCCGACGGAGCTCATTGTGATGGCGAAGAACACCTGCAATGCAAACGATGTTAGAACGCGAAACAATATGTGATACAGCTCCTTACCCGAAACACTCTCTTGAAGTCGGTTTCTCCTTTCTCCACGAGGCGCGAACCAAACCAAAAGCTCATGGCATATGATCCGAAAAGCACAAAGTTGGAAACGGATAGAGCAACTCCACTGATAATCCCCTGCTTCACACCGTTGATCAAAGGGAGGCTACACTTTTCCTTGTACAAGTCCATGACTTTCACTTCTGCGCAGTAAGAAGCAACTGTTCTGATGCTGCTCACGGCTTCGCTGGCTACTTGACTAGCCTCTTCGTACATTATCTGCAAAACTCGAGATACTATATATCATGAGTGGAAAGGAAAAAGAGAATGTCTGCCCACCTTGGCATCTGCGCTGAAGCCTTGCACAAACTTGACTTGCATAAGATGCTGTAGACCAATCAGGGGCACCAGAGCTAGAACCAGAAGAGCCAGCTGCCAGCTAGCAGTAAATGCGAGAACAAGACCAGCAGCAACAGTGGCTACGTTCTGCACGAACAGAGACAACGTATCTCCGACCATACTTCGAACATGTGCTGCGTCAGAGGACAGTCTTGCCCCGAGCGCTCCACTGAAACGAAAAGAAAGAAAAGAAAAGCACTGATGAGCCGAAAGAAGAGAATGCATCCACGAACCTGGAGTTTTCAGATGCATCGAACCACGAGATCTCTTGCCGGAGGATTTTTTCGAACATTTGCGTTCTGATGCGACGGATTAGTCTGTTGCCGACGACGGAGAAGCAAAGTATCTGAGCCGGAGCGACAACGAAAGCGGAGCACGCAAGGACGAGGAACATCATCGACCAGAAGTTCACGTCCCTCCGCAGCGTGTGTACGTTGACTTCGAAAAAGGAGCCGATGATGCTTGACAAAAGAAGCCCGAACAGGGGTAAGATAACTCCGTTTGCAGCAGCAGCCAGAGACCCCACAAAGACGATCGGAACTTCCGGCTTGTTCAGAGTAGCAAGCCTGAAGATGGATATATTCTTCGGCTTCGTACGTCCAGTCTCAATATCCTCGCAAACCGGCTGCTTCTGATCGTTGTCATCAGCCTGTTTGACACTTGCTGACTTTGTCAATGAGAACGAGTGCCGGCCGTCCCCTCGACTCGAAGACCTGCTAAATGACCACCGGATTGGAGAAGCTTTGCTGAAAGACCACCTGCTTGGAGAGTTTCGGCTGGCAGCTCGGCTGAGACTTCGATTATCTTCTTGAATCAAAACACTGTCCGGATCAATTTCAGTGGTCTCTACGGGCGGAGGTTGATGCATCTCTTGCAGATGCACGAGTTGGGAGTAGGCACCATTGGGACGTTGTACAAGGTCAAAGTGCGTACCTATGCAATCCAGTCCAGTACAAAGGTGTTAGTGCTAGAAAAAAGAAATTCATCTGCCTCACCCGTCTCAACGATTGCTCCGTGTTGCACGACAGCAATGCAATGAGCATTCCTTATCGTGGTCAGCCTATGGGCTATAACTACAGTCGTCCTGTCCGTCATTACACGATCCAAAGCTTCTTGCACGAGACGCTCAGACTCGGCATCCAAGGCGCTCGTGGCTTCATCCAGCAGTAAAATCCGAGGATTTTTAAGAATTGCCCTCGCAATCGCAACTCTCTGCTTCTGTCCACCTGATAGTTGTGCTCCGTGCTCCCCGACCTGAGTGTCATAAGCCTGCAAAACTTATAAACGTTAAAACTCGATCACAAGTTTCACCGTCGCAGTATACCTGTGGCAACTTGTTAATAAACCTGGCTGCATTCGCAAGGTACGCGGCATTCTGGATCTCATCTAGTGTTGCTCCTTCTTTTCCATAGCCAATGTTCTCTTTGATCGACGTGCCGAAAAGAACTGGCTCTTGACTGACGAGACCAATCTGATGCCTTAGCCACTTCAGCTGTATCTCGTTTAGATTCGTTCCATCCAGCAGTATTTCACCCGCCTGTGGGTCGTAAAACCTTTCAATCAAGCTTATAACTGTAGACTTGCCACTTCCACTTTCTCCTACGAGGGCCGTTGTCATGCCCGACGGAATACCCAAGGAGAACTTTGAGAATATCTGAACGTCTGGCCGAGATGGATACGAAAAATCAACCTGACGGAATTCGATATCCCCCTTGACATTTTCCGGAACTTTGCCCGAGGATTGGAAAGCATCGATCTCCGGAGTACGGTGGATAACTTCGAACATCTTATATGCCGCTGCTTGGCCAGAAGCAAACGCATTCAGACACGGGGAAGTTTGACCCAATGCCCTGGCAACGGAAATGAGAAGTGTAAGTAAATGTCGACGTGTGTACAGCAGGCTGACTTACATGCCACCGGTAAGAACCGCAAAAATCACGTTCATCACTCTTCCACCAGAAAAGCCTTCATGTAGAACCAGTTTTGAGCCGTACCAAAGAGCCAGCGCGTAGCTCGAAAAGACTATCAGCAGAAGAAACCCCAGGCTCAGGCCAGCTGCGATACCCTGTTGCACCCCAGCACTGTACGCTCTCTTTAACGCTTTATCGTAGTCTTCGACAGCTCTCTTCTCTCCAGTAAACGATGCTACCTGTGACCGCAAATTATTAAGTTAAAGACGGGACAAAGGTGGCTAAGGAAGGCAACAAAATCTCACAGTTCGAATTGCACCGATAACTCTATCGACGATGCCTCCAGCTTCTGCATATGCAACTTGCCCTCTGCTAGACATCCGAGAAACCACAACGGCCATCATTCCTCCAGCTGCAACGATCAGGGGCAACGCCGAGAGCATGACAAGAGTCAGCTTCCATCCTCTCGTAAATGCCACGGCAAAGCCACCCAAAAATGTAGCCGTCAGTTGAATAAACTTCCCGACCTGCAAGCCAAAGCTGTCAAATTAGCCAGCTGCAAAACATATCTCGATCTGATATACCTTCTCTCCAATCGCTTCCTGGATCAGAATAGTGTCTCCAGACATCCTACCAACAACTTCTCCAGTTGTGGTTTCTTTGTCAAAAAAAGCCACATCCTGCCTTAAGATGGACTTGAGATACAGTCCTCTTATCCTCGCAGCCTGACGCTCTCCTGTGCAAATCCAAAACGCTACTTCTGCAAACACGAACAACAGAAATGAAAGGCTTTCGAAACAAAGATATCCCTCTTACGCACCACCAAAAGATGCCACCGAAGCAGCGCCGCCGAGATAGACAAAGCGCAAAGCCACCTGACAAAGTTCTTCTTCTCGTCAACGAAACAGCACAGCGAAAGATCACACTCCCATACCTGTGAAACTTCATGAACCATGGCGTGGATGTTACCGGAATTCTGTCCAAACGCGTTCGCGAGCTGCCCAAACACGATTGTCAAGGCGGGCATCGCAAACCCATTGGCCATTGCGCCCAAGGTCCCCAAGAACATGAGCAAGTAGTCGAGTGGATCCGCAAAGTAGAAGAGCTTGTAGAAGGGAACCGAGCAAACCTCGTGAGTTCTTCCTTTCTTCGCGTCCTCGGCGACCTCCACCTCGGCTTGCTTGGATTTGGGAGTCTCCACCATCTGTAGAGCCGCATCGGGCTTGGCAGCCGCGGAGAAATTTGGAGATCTGGGACCAGGCATTGCAGCGGCGGCCTCCTCGGCGCTCTCTGCCTTGAAGTAGTAGCTCAAATCCTTTCGACCTTGATGCATCAAGCCTTCACAGGATCCACGAGCTCAGATCATTCATCCAGAGGACTTGCCGCCTCGAAATATCAATGCACCTGGAGGATTTCGAGGATTTCACAGCAGCAGCTCCAAATCCCTGGCATCGCCCGCAGAGAATCGATACATTGCCGCGACTAGATGGAATCACCCGCATTGCAATCCAGCCGGGGCGCCGGCAGCGTCTCGCCGCCTCCGCATTGCGCAATGCCCTAAGAAACTAGCTCTGGACTATGGACAAGAACGCTATAGAAAAACAAACGCTCCTCTCTCCCTCGCTAGGCTATGGCGTGTCGCTACTCTTCACCGTATCCGTAGAAAATCGACCCCCAAAAAGTATTTTAGTGACGGGCTCTCTTGACGGGCCGCCGATAGCCGTGGGATTTGTCTTTCTTCCCGGCGCATCCTGTGCGTCCGATTTCCCTTAACGCATGAGATTTCAGATCCTTAACGAATATTCTTTCTTTAAGTATCTTTTTAAAAACTAAAACTTGCACATGCGAGGCAGCTAGTTACAATCATTGGGCGTCATGTTTGCCACAATAACTAATTTTTGTTTGTTAAGTGTTGTTTTGAAATCGATCTTCCCCTTTGATTGATATCGTCCGGGTATATATATTTTGCGGCCCTATCACGTGAACCTGACATTGCAACAAATTTTGACAACGCTCGCGCTGGTTTTGAACCCGTGACCACTCCCCACGGACAAATCTCCAACAATAATCAACTCTCTATAATATCCATCAACACTGGTAATCAGCATTCCACCATATCTAGGCGCATGTTGGTGAGCAGTGGACAAAACAGTGAAGTCCCAGTTTACAATCTCTGGCAAAAGTAAAATAGAATTATAAAAAAAGTAATTTATTTCTTTTCTTTTTATTTGCCTTTCAGCATGTTGTAGATTGGACTGGTTGGGGTGATTCCTGGCTGGTCTCAAAAAGATTTTGCATGGTGGTCTGGATGAAACAAAATGTGGGGAAGAAAAAGGTGGTGTGCTTGCAGCAGCTGCTGCTGCTGTGCCTGTGCCTGATCATGCCCAGTGCCACCAGCCATGCTGTGAAGACACACAACATAAAATACAAAAAAGAGAGAAGCAAATTGGCTGGCCAGTCCAAATCCATCCATTAGTAGTATGAGAGGGGTACCACCAACCAAGTCATTTATAAGGGAGGATAGGCAAAAAGAAGAAGAGCCTTGGGAACTGTTTGAGCCCATGTCTAACTTTTGACGTGGCCTGACACGTGGATGACAATGTCCTACGTGTAAGACACCTGGCTTGAGATGAGAGATTTTGAGATGAGAGAGATTTTGAAAGAATGGAACGATGTGACAAGCGTGTGTAAGGACTGTTAGACGCGCTACAACAAAAGCCAAATAATACAAAAGTGTCAATCAATCTCTCAAAGTGCCTGCAAGCTTTTGAGGCATCAAACTAGTCTTTTCGAGAAGGTTTTTTTCCTTGCGAGACAAAAAAAAAACGAGAGGCAAACATATAGCCTTTGAGCCAGCAATCACAGTTTGGTGATGGATCATTAAATCAGTGCACGGAAAAACGGGCGTGCCAGATCTTAGAATTAGAAACCGCAGCTTAGCGACGGCGTACTCCGTGTTTGGCTGTGATCCACGATCACAGTGTCAAAGCCACAAAGTCTCCACTTGAAACCTTTGAACTCCATCTAATGGTGTCATATAAAAATTACATACCCGCAAAGTCAGAAAGGTTGGTGGTCGCCAAAGAAAAAAAAAATTCCGATGTCCGGACCACTTGATGACGAAAATCTAAGCACTGTAGCATCGAAACCAGCAAATATCATCATCCAAAGAATTCCTCGAGGAGAAATAAATCCACCATATCGAGCAAAAGTCCAGGTTTCTTCGTTCTCTTTCTCTCTGCTTAGGCCGATGATGCCTTGATCTTAGTTGCGGGATAGTAAACACCCTCGGCTGCTAGCCAGAGGCTGTCGCTTGATTTCTTGCGCACACCACAGACCTGTGAAGTTCACAAAACAAATACATCAATGGATGAATTCAAAGAGTAAAACACGATTTATTTTGTACCTCCTGCTGGCCAGGAACTATCCGGTTGTACTTCTTGTCGTGGCTATGAAGATACCCATTCGTATCTAGATGGAGCAAACGCACTTTCTGGTCCCTTAGCCATACGTTAGCCTTGCCATCTATCTCAAGCCTACACTAGCGCACGAAGGGTTAGAAAACTACAAGCAAGGAAGACTAGGTGGCTTTCTCGCAAGGCTTACTTCCAATTATCTCCTGTATCACTGTTGTCGTCCCCACCGAAGCCACTCACCTGACGAAGGAAAAAGGAGAAAACTTTGTCAGTTTGATTGATGCAAGGGACGCGAAAATACCTCAAGGTTTCCTGAGATGGGAGACTGCAAGAGATGGCTGTGAAGCCATTTCCGTGTTCGCATATGTTGCAAGCGGATCACGGCCCCGTCTGCTATAACATCCCCTTGACGAAAGCTGGATCTTCCTTTCGGCCTTACAATCTACGAAATAAAAAACAAGAAACTGCTTAATATCAAAGCTGACCAAAAAAGAAACAGCGCGGTTCAGGAAAACATAAACAGGAGCAAAATCCGGCTCTACAAAACATACAACAGAGAATTGAGAAAACACAGGCTCCAACAAAACTTGAGCCTGAAATTAGAACTTCCAGAAGAAAAATACAATTTTGGCAAACTGGAGACTCTAGCAAGCACATCCACAAAACAGAAACAAGAAGGAAAACAAAAAAAATCACTGAAGGATGAAGAACTTACCCAGTAACTATTCGAATCGTGACCCGAGTAGCAAGTAATTGATTGTTGTCCACTGCCAGAGCCGTAAGGAACATCGTGAGAATGTAGTCGATACTTAGTCCGATCATGTTGGAGCTTGATCACGCTGCCATAAGTTACCTATGGAGTAGCAAAGCTTGAGCTCCCAGATTCGAGAAAACCACACCAGAAAAATCACCTCTGCATTTGTTTGCGATGCCGTTGCCGCGCCAGCGCTAGCCCCAGCGGCCGAGATGCCGATCACTAGCAGCAGCAAGAGCCCTATCATCGTCTGTTACCCTAAAGTGCCGTAAAGGAAACGGTCATGTCAACTAAAAAAGTCCGGATCGGGCAAAGTTCAAATTCTTAATGGTATATTAAGATTTTGGTAGATCTAGTAATTGGAAGATGGAATGTGAACCTATATATTACTTTTTTTGCTGTGAAGAGCTTCGCATCAATAATTTTTTATATAACCATCACCTCGGGATCCCGGTTATATGCGTATTTGAAAGCCTCAATCCTTTCCGATCTTCTGTGACCTCACAAACATATTCCGCAAGTTCTAGCAACGATGCCTTGTGTGTATATATGTCAAGGTTTGGAATTGCAGTGTCCTTGAGTAAGCAAAGCAAGCCTGCACGCACACCACAAACATGAAGAAAACAAACTAAAAGGGAAGACAAAGTCTGGAGGAGGAAACCGATTAAAAAAACTCGGAGCAATTAGGCAACAGTATACCGTGGTGAATTGTCAGTATCCTGGCGAGCTGCATTGACAACAACGTACCCTCTGCCGAGAGGCCTGAGTACTTGTGATCTCCCGTTGAAGCTCCAAAACCTTCATGTGAAGCTCCAAAAGCTCTTGTTCATACAACCATAAGCTGAAGGTCTTTGTTCTCCTCCATCTTCTTGGCCAGCCGAAATTCTGAAAGTCACCAACTTTTTATAAATTTATTCTATATGATATAAAATTCTTACATCATGAAAATTATTATTAATGGCCTTATAGCTTCTTGTTTCACATTCATGTAGGGCAACCACTCTATATCCCAAATCCAAATACCATTTTAGTTCACCTGCTAGCAATTGCCCAGCAAATGTTAGGTGGTTGGCAAATTTCATGCCATTTCAAGAGATTTGCTGAGCTTAGCTATGTTTGCTGCTTGATCAACTCCTAAACTGTTAAAGTGTTTAAGGATAGCTTTCAAAATTTAGAAGAAAGAACTTTACATAAAAAGTCTTGAAGCTAAAGCTCTCTTGGACAACCTATCATAGTTAGTAAATGATTCAAGGATCTATTGTTGAGCCCACCCAGTAGCCTAAAATTTCTTTGGTAGGGAGAAGACAATAACACATACCTTTGGCTGTTGCTCATGCAAGTTGTTGCCATGTAGCTATGGCTACTGTTGGCAACGATGTCAATGTTGATTTGATGATTGCTAAATAGTTTGTTCTGAACTTGCTTGCTGTATCCTAGGCAAGCTGATCCTGCATCCTATCAAGAGCCTCTAGAATTCAAAACTCATTTTAAAAAAGTGAGCTTATAAAGTGTGATGATTCCACAATTAAGAAAGCTAACATAACTTTGATTCCATAGCAGCCAAGAGCATTATGGCTTTTGAACTTGCTACAACTCAATCTCCAACACCTTAGTTGACACTTCCACAAAATGCTAGACCCTCGAGTAGTGTTCAACTAAATGAAGCTAAAATAAGGGAGAGCAAGGTGGTTTTAAAGTTTTTGAATGCATAGGGCTAGAGCCAATATTTGCAACAATGTTACTAAGGGCTTGTGGGACTTTGGTGGATTTGGAAACTAGAAAGGAATTCAATGCTGGGATCTGCAAGAGGCAGCAGTGTCACAAATGCTTACAACAAGTGTGGAATTATAACCATTGCTCAACATATCTTTAATTCCCCCATAATATCCAAGGACATGGTTTTGTGGAACACAATGATAGTAAGCTATGAAGGCAATGTAGCCAAGGTGGTGGAGATCTTTGGCAAGCTGCTAGAGGAGGGCACTAAGCTGGATGGATTTACATTCCTCTTTATTATTGCAGCATGCAATGCCATAAGATGGATCAAATAGGGCCAAAAGTTTTTCTTGGAGATATGGAGGTATGGCATAGCCTAGTGCAATGTAAGCACCCTGAAGCAAGGGAGGTCCACTATAAATTGCATTGAGTCAAAGGGGGATGCAACAGGTGTTGCATTTCTCTCTTTTTTGCACCAGCCAATCGTTAGCCAAACTGTGCAAACCTCTGATTGGCCAGTGTGATGGCTACCAACCCTGGCCCAGGCCTGGGATCCAACAGACGGTGGGCCTCCCCACTATGGCTTTATATATATAAATACTATTCAATCTATAGAAGGATTTAGTTTGCTTAAACAAAATTCCTTTGAAAGGATTTCCTCTGGATCTCGATCATATGCATATTGAAATGCCTAGATCCAATATTTCGGATCTTCCATGGCATCACAAACAGATTCTACAAGAAAAACACAAACCAATGCAAAAAACGAAGTCAGACATACCACGTGGAGGAGGAAGCCCATAAAAAAACTGGGACCAATTCCGAGACCTCAATAGCTCTTCACACTGTGGACGTGAGGTGATCTCGCATGCAGCGCTTATGCGAGCTGCATTGACAACAATGCATCTGCAGATCTTCGCAACCCTCTTTCAAAAGTCCTGGATTCTTTTAATCTCCACTTGAAGCTCCACAAGCCTTTGCTCATGCTTTGCAATCGTCATTTCATGCTCCATCACCATGTGCCGAAGTTCGTGGTTCTCCTCTTCAAGATTCTGCCGTGCAGCGTCCTCCATCTTCATCTTCTTGCGCATGCTCACCTAAAACTCTAATTCTGTAGAGGTCGAGCGTTCGATTCCAAGTAAGAACCACCTAATTTTAGGGTTCTTAGACTGAGCTATGGGGAGCGTCGCAAATGCCGCTGCCCAGGCGGGGGACATGGGCTGGGTCGGCAAGAAGCCGCTGCGGCGCCTAGGCGGCATGGCGGATGCGCTAGCGATCGCGACGGAGCTCGGCTATAGCGTCCAGCAGGTGGATTTTCTTTGCTTCGGCTAGAGAGCTGGAAATTTGATCGATTTCTCGGCGATCAGGAGGACGCTGTGCAAAATGCTGGCAAGAACGATGCGCTGGTGTCAGCGCTGAGAGAATTAATGGTCGTCCAGCGGGCTTTGGCAAATCTCCAGGTTGAGCTCCAAGGCCGGCAGGTATGAAATCTTTTCTTTTTGCTAGTCTTTGTTTCTATAGTGTTTACGCTCCTCCATTATTTTGCTCTCTAGGACGATGAGAGCGTCTCCCATCTCACGCACGTAAGTGGTATAGAGAAGAAATGCCAGGCCTTGGCAAGGACTACGACTAAACTGAAAGATGTTATTCAGAACAAGGTAATCTTTTTTCCTCTGCGATGATCACTTAGCTGTTCTATGCTCTTGTGGTCAGGATCGTATAATAGCACGCTTACAGCAGCCTTACTCTCTAGATTGCATTCCCGTGGAAACTGAATACCAGGTATAAGCTTGACGATTCTTTTAGTTTCTCCAGCTTTAGCTTTTCGTGTTTAGCGTTTATGTTTTGCTAAGATGCCTGTTTTTACAGCGGCAATTCGCAGAGTTGCTACTCAAGGCTGCGGGTGATTATGGAGCGCTAACAGCTGCAATTTCTGATCTTCAGTGGACACAGAGCTTCAAGGATCCACCGTCTGTTTGGGGGGTATACTTTTCACATTGTCTTGCGTACCAAGTTTTTGTTTTTCTTCTGCTGACTGTTTTTCTTCTACTACTACTTCAGGACTTGCTGCGACCCATTCCTGTGGCTCTTGCCTCTTGCACGAGATACTACGAAGCTCTCTCGGCCATGAGGGAGACGGTGGCATCTTACTACAAGCGTAAGGTACAGCTGGGATCGCTGGAAACGCCAGTAAAAGATGCAGATGCGGACTGCACAACACCCATATGGAACCAAGCAACGTACGTTTTGGACGAGCCAACCTCGGACGATCTCCTCCTCCGCGGCCGAACGAGATTGAAGCAGATCAACATCACAGCAAACGAAAAGGATTGGAATGCGTCGCCTGATGCGCTGCAGCTCGACGCTTTTGGCGACGATGTCAAGCAAAGACGCATGTCATGGCCGCCGTCTCCCACCACTCCTGCCTAGGTAGGCAATTCTTTCTTTCTTTTTTTCTCAATTCAAGAAGGAACAAGGTAGACGACGAAGGCTCCGCCATTCAAGCAAGGGGGGCTTGTCAGCTTGCTTCTTAAGTATACGCTTTCGTTTTGGTTCTCTCTTTTCTGATTGAGGACGAGGAAAGTTGTGAGTGACTGCGATTTGTATCACGCTCAGTTTGAGCCATCTTTGTTCTTCCAGTTAATACTTAATGCTCGAAGACTTTTTAACATTTTTTTAGAAAGCTTAGGATGTTTATAAAATGCCTTGTAGGTGTAGGAACTTGTTTCTTCCTCCTCTTACTAAAAGCTCTTCGCCCTCCAGGAAATACTTCTCAAGCAGGTATTGGCTAGAGAGCTGGAAATGGATCGATTTCTCGGCGATCAGGAGGACGCTATGCAAAATGTTGGCAAAAACGATGCGCTGGTGTCAGCGCTGAGAGAACTGATGGTCGTCTAGCGGGCTTTGCCAAACCTCCAGGTATTTTCTCTTATCTTGGTTTTGTTTCTATGAAGTTTACTCATTCTTTAGGACGATGAGATTGTTTCCCATCTCGTGGCATAGCATGCCTTGGCAAGGACTACGACTAAACTGAAAAATGTTATTCAAAACAAGGTAATCTTTTTTCTTATGCGATGATCACTTCGCTGTTCTATGCTCTTGTGGTCAGGATCGTATAATAGCACGCTTACAGCAGCCTTACTCTCTAGATTGCATTCCCGTGGAAACTGAATACCAGGTATAAGCTTGACGATTCTTATAGTTTCTCACTGTGTGTTTTGCTAAGATGCCTGTTTAATTACAGCGGCAATTCGCAGAGTTGCTTCTCAAGACTGCAGGTGATTATGGAGCGCCAGCAGCTGCAATTTCTGATCTTCAGTGGACAAGGATCCACCATCTGTTTTAAGTTTTTGTTTTTGTTCTCTGCGACCCATTCCTAAACCCTAAACCCTGTGACGAGATACTACGAAGCTCTCTCGGTCATGAGAGAGACTATGGAACCAAGCAGCGTACGTTTTGGACGAGCCAACCTCGGATGATCCCCTCCTCCATGGGAAGCAGATAAACATCGCAGGAAATGAAAAGGATTGGAATGCGTCTCGATGCTTTTGGCGACGATATCAAGCAAAGACGCATGGCATGGCCACCGTAGGCAAGTTTTCTCTTTTTGGCTCTTTCGACGACGAAGGCTCAAGTTAAGGGGACCTTTCAGGGTTTTATTCAAAAGCTATGGGCAAGAAGCAGCGTCATCAGCAGCAGCAGAAGCAGCCGCAGCAGAAGCTCGCAGACTTCAAGGCAGAAGTGGAGCGGCAGAGCAAGCAAATCGCCGGCGAGCCTTGTTACGTCAGGGTTTTTACATAGAGCAGGGTTGGAAGTTTATGCACGTTTGTGATCGAAACCACGAAATCAGTGCTGCGTTGACGGAGGCTGCGGAGCTAGGGATTAGAAAACTGTGTGAAGAGACTGGGATGAAAAGGGATGCTTTGAGCTATGGGCCATCCATTGGCATCATGAAGTCCCCGACGCAACTCTACAGGCTGGACGAGTGGACCCGGAATGGGTTCCTCATGGTTTATACAGCGGCCGGGAGGGAGGACGAGGGACTCCTTGGGAAGTTGCAAGCTGCTGAAAACCAGTTAAATATGCTGGAGCAAGAAGGATCAACTCGAAAATCTTCCTCATCCGTTAACGATGAGGTGAGAAGCTTGATTGTCTTGACAAGATTAACATTCGTTTCTTCTTTCTTTGGCAGAAGAGCAAAGGCAAGAAGGTGATGGAGGACGGCGAGAAGATCGTAGAGGGTGAGCATGAAGGAGTTTTGCAAGAGGACGGGGGCTTAAAACAGGAGAACGAGAGCCTCAAAAAGGAAGTCTCGGAGCTTCAAAACCGGCTCGAGCTGGTTGAGAAGGAGCTTCAGGGTCTCAAGCAGAGTCATGAGCGTCTCAAGCAGAGTTATGAGCGTCTCGAGCAGAGTCATGAGCGTCTCCAGCAGAGTCATGAGAGTCTCCAGCAGGATTATCAAGATGTGTCTCGGCGGCTGAGGAGATTCGGGAACTTCCATCGACGAATCGTCATCAAGGAAGCTCGAAAGAAAGCTGCAGAAGCAATGGATCGAGCACCGGAGCACAACGAGACTTGGAGCGAGTACTTCGATGCCGTTGCTCCGCCACCCGGCTTGTCAGAAGGTTTGCTTTTTGTCTTACTTTTAGCTTCTTCTCTAATGTTTGGTGTGTGCAGGCTTACTTCGCCTTCTGAAGGAAGGAGGTAGCGCAGGCAATTGGACAGCACACGAGGTGGACCTCGCAGATTCTGTCTGCGAAGCCATCAAGGATCGGAGTTACTGGATTGAAGCCTTCAAATTCGCATACAACCAAGATCCGGAGCAAATTCTCTTCGATGCTGACAGTGGCAACTAAGGTGTATTTTGTTTACACAAGTGTTTGTGGTACCTTCGCATCGCATGAATTCAAGCGTAGCTTTCCTTAGCGTGGCCAAACACATTGTTCTTGTCACTGATCTTCCAGATCAAGCTCAACATGATCGGACTGAGTGTGGTCACGATGGTCTTCGTAGCTTTTGTCAAGGTTGTCAGACGTTTCTCGTGGTGAAGCTCTTGGCAAGCTGTTATGTTTTCTAGTCGCTCCAGCTTCATAGTTTTTTCTATCTGCTACGTTTCGGACACTTGTGAGTTTCATTACAGTATCTGGAGGATCTCACAAGGTTGAACAACATGGGAAAATCAAGAAATGTTCTTTGGCTCTCACTAAAACTTCTGTCGTTATCCAGCAGCCAAGTGGCGATGGCTCGGTTTGCACGGCACTCAGGTACACAGATCTCTATCTTTTTGTACTTTTGTGATGACCACTTAACTGGAATTGATCGATTTTTCTCGGCGATCAGGAGGAGAGAATTGATGGTCAACGGGCTTTGGCAAATCCCCAGGTTGAGCTTTTTGCTCGTCTTTCTTTCTAGTTTTCGTGCTAATCAATTTGCTATTAGGACGACCAACGGAAGTGGTATAGTGGGCCTTTTAGCAAGGACTACTACTAATCCAAAAGATGTTATTCAAAACAAGGTTTCTTTTGCGATGATCACTTTGGTCAGGATCGTATTAACTGGTTGCTCTCAGTCTTTAAGCTTTCGTTTTCACCGTGTGATTGTGCCTTTGTATAACGAAGCTCTCTCCTCGATGAGAGAAACCGCGGGATCTTAGTACAAATCACGACTTGGACGACCCAACCTCGGATGATCTCCTCGAACGAGAATCGAAAGCGATTGGATTACTTTGCCGGACGCATTGCAGGGGTGACGGTATCAAGCAAAGATGCACGCACAGTCATGGCTCCCACCAGTAGGCAAATTTCTCTTTTACTTCCGCTTTAGCGAACAATTCGGGCGAAGGAATAAGTTGGAGCTTGGTGACGATGAGAGGACTCTGTCATTCAAGCCATCCAAGCCATCCAAGCCATCCAAGTGACGGGACCTTTACTCGAGCGACAGTGTCTTTAAGCATCCGTCGTTGCTAGCCAGATGGCCCTGCAAGCGCCCAGCTACACACTTTTCGGGATTTTTTTGTGTGGCTTTGTCAGCTGATTTGTTTTCGTTTTCTCGTTTGTGTTTTGTGGTTTGCAGGACTAAGCGGCGATTCAGTCAATCCCGCTGATCGAGAGAGAGAGAAAAATGCGAGCGATGGAATTAAGAGCTTGTGCCCGTGTCAGTGCGTTGGAGTGGCCTAATGCACTCCGATTGGTGTCACGCACAGATCTTTCAAGCCCGCTTTTGTTCCAAAGATATGTTTCAATCGGTCAGCCAGACGGTGACTTGTCTTTTCAGCTCAAACTTAATGCTCGAGGACAAGGTTTACTGCTTGAAATGATCTGCTTCACATTTTCTTTTTAGTTTTCTATCATTTTTCATTTTATTATTATTGTTTTTGTGATAGGTCCTTGCAGGTGGTGCTGCTGATTTTGGCTCTCTTTTTTTGACATATCTTGGATTTCTTTTCTTTTTTTTTTCTTGCAATCTTCACTTCAAGTGGATCTTGTTTGATGGTGGGACGAATTGGCTAACGATTTTTCCTTCCTGGCGTGAAGCACTCAATCCCCCTGCGAGAAAAATTTGCTCTTTTGGATATAAAAGAGGATGAGGCAATTCATGTGCTTGGCGACATTGGGCGACATAGCTTGCTTGGAGCCATGATGTGAAATAGTTGGTAAATAGTAAATGGAGAAAAAAAAGCAAAATTTTACCATCCCGTTGGTGAAATCACGTGCATGGTAAATTCGGACGCAACATGCAAATGCCATGCCAGCCACGCTGGCTGACACGCCAGCTGCCACGCCAGCCCTGTTGACGTTTTAGACACGCTAGCTGCCACGTAGGTCTTGTCGAGGAATGGCCATGGAGGGTCTCTGTGAGAGCCAGGCGGTGTGACGCTGATAGGAGTGAGCTCGCATTGGTGTTCTAGCGATAGTTCTACCGATTCTAGCGATGATTCTCTAGAATGGAGGCGGAGCTCTCGTGAGGAGCGATTGATTTCTCGATCGCCGCGGGGACAATGCAGGTACTCTCGATTCCAGCGCGAGCGTCCTCCTAAGATCCAGATGGGTCCTTCGATTCCTGGATCCATTGGAGCAGTCGTAGCGCTGCTGCTCGTCCTAGCAGTGGAAGGATCATCGCTGCCGCCATCGCAAGTCCACAGTGTTCTTCGCCTCCAGCGGCTGCTGGGCTACCCATCCGCGCTCGCCCACATCGATTCCAACGCTACCCAGGGCCTGGATTTGTGTGGGATTCCTCCATCGCCGGTGTTTAATCTCTCCTGCAACTCCAGCGCTGGTTCCTTCTCCTCCACCATCGTCTCCATCCAGATCTTGGGCAATGCCACGAGCCTCTCGCGGGATTTCTCCATGGAGACGCTGGGGAATCTCCTCTCGGCGCTGCCCGAGCTCGAGATCCTGGGCCTCGTCCACCTCGGCCTCTGGGGATCCATCCCGCCCAAGCTCGACCATCTCCAATCCCTCCGGGTGCTCGATCTCAGCGAGAATTCCATCTCCGGCGCCCTGCCCGACCGCCTCCGCGCGCTCTCGCGCCTCGAGATCCTCCAGCTCAAGGACAATCGCTTGAATGGCACGCTGCCCGGATGGATCGGCGAGCTGCGCAGCCTCCGCGAGCTCGACCTCTCCAACAATGCGATCACTGGCAAGCTGCCCAAGTCGCTCTTCTCGTCGCGGAGGAATCGCCTCGAGAGATTGGTGGTCTCGCACAACGATTTCTCGGGCAATCTCCCGGATTGGAGCTCCGACAGCCTCCTCGTCTACTTCAATGCTGGGGCGAATCACATCGGCCCCGCCTTCCCCAAGTTCGGCTATGGGGGCCTCTTACAGTCCCTCCTCCTCGGGCAAAACGATATCACCGGCGGCATACCGCGCGACGCCGCCGCGCGGCTCGGCGGTGTACGGACGATGGACCTGTCGTACAACGAGCTCCACGGCATGCCGCCGGCGGCACTCTTCCGGCTGGGCCACATTGAGACGCTGGCGCTCAATGGCAACCAGTTCTTGGGGGTTTTGCCCTACAACCTCTCCCTCTCCCCCAGCTTGGCGTTGCTCGATCTCTCCTCGAATTTCTTCACGGGGCGCGTGCCGGCGAGCTTCCTGGGCAGCGGCGGATCGGTCGTGGTCAGGTTTGGGAAGAATTGCTTCGCGACGCGTGTGCAGCAGCAGTACACGCGATCGCACTGCGATGCCGCGGCGAGGAAGAGGGCGGCGGCGTCGGCGGCGGGGGCCAGCACGCCGGATTCTCACGACCTGGCGATCATCGCTGGGATTGTGGGAGGTGGGATTGCGCTGGTTGGGGCGGTGGCGGTGTTCTTGTGTGTTCTACTTCGATGCTTGAGGCAGCAGAAGGATGACAAGCCCGTCCAGTATGCCGCTTCTTCGTGCGCGGACACGGCGTCCATTGGCGTCCCCTCGGATCTTCTCTCCAATGCAAGTAAGCATCCTTCTAGAACTAGATCTTTCTCTGATTTGCATTGTTTGACACTTCCTTCGATTTCTTTCATTTGTCTAGAACTTGCATTGGACGATTGTGTTCGTTCCTTGTGTTCTTGGTCGGATTCACTTGTTTGCAAGCTCATTCTTTTCATGAACTTTGATTGTGTTCTTAGCGGTTTTTGTCGAGCTTTACCTTCTTCGGCTTCTTTCAGTTTTCCAGAACATGGATTTGATGATTGTTTTCTTTCGTTGTGTTCTTGGTTGGACTTGTTTGTAAGCTCATGTTGTTTCTTCTTTGCATGAACGCCGGTTCCTTTGCTTCTTTCATATGGTTTTCTAGGGAGTGTTTCGATCGATTCGAGCTTATACGTTTTGTTTTCTTCGATTTTTGCAGGATATCTGTCACAGTCTATACGTTTGGGTGTCCACTCCACTTCTCACAACCGAGTCTTTTCAGTTCCCGAGCTCGAGGAAGCCACTGCCAACTTTAGTCTGGAGAATCTCATCGGCGAAGGCCAGCACGGGAAAGTTTTCAAAGGCAAGCTCCATGACGGGACCGTGGCTGCCGTCAAGTGCCTCACGCTGGATTCCAGACAAGACATGAGGCAACTCAAGATCCACGTTGAGCTGCTCGTCAAGATCCGCCACAGGCATTTGGTGGGGTACATTGGCTACAGCTTGGACAACGTGATCGACGGAGCGACGCAGTGCCGAAAGCTCTATCTTGTCTCCGAGTACATCGACAATGGAACTCTCCGTAACCATCTCTCAAGTAAGTTCGTCACAGGATTGCTGGGCTTAATGTTTTGCTTTTCGGATTTACCTGTAGAGGCGGAGGGTCGGGAGGTTTTGAGCTGGTCACAGAGATTAGCTGCTGCGATCGGTGCTGGGAGAGGAATTCAGTATCTTCACACTGGTGTTGTTCCTGGGATTTTTAACAACGACGTGAACATTACCAACGTTCTCATGGATCAAAACTGCGTAGCGAAGTTCACGGACTTCGGTATAGGGAAGCATGCACGTACTTCATGCGATTTCGATGTAAGTGTGACGGTTTCCCTTCTTTTATGTTGACGTTTACGGGTTCCTCGTCCACAGGCGAAGGTCTACGTCCAGAAAACTCCGGCTCACATAGACTTGGATCACCATCGCAGGTAAGCTAAGGATTGTTTTGTTTTCAATGTAAAACGAGCTCGTCCGTTCTTCTTTTCAGAAAGCTCGCATCCGATAAAACCGATGTCTACAACTTTGGCTTCATCCTGCTTGAGATCCTCCTCGGAAAGCCGCCGACAATCGAAGACTCCAAGTCGTCTGTCCATCCAAAAGTCCGAGAACTGGCAAGTTCTTTTCCTTCCTCCAAATTCTCACTAAAAATTCCTATCTCTCTCCAGGAAATGCTTCAAACCGAGCACGTCCCGCGGTACGAAGTCGTGGACCCAGCGATCATCGGCAACTGCGTAGCTGAATCTCTCACGACGGTGCTGGAAATCGCCGCTAAGTGCCTCTCGGAGGAACCATCGAGCAGGCCATCCATGGAAGACGTGCTCTGGAACCTCCAATACGCTGCCCAAGTCCAGGATAGAGTGAGTGGAGAGTGCTCGGAGGAGCTTCCGTACGTCTCTCCACCGAGATCTCGGTTTAACCGGCAAGCCATCCGTACGTCCGGGATCACCAACAGAAAGAACGAGTCAGGACCAGAGTTCCTGAGATAACTTATAAGTATATACTCGTAAACTGCGAGGTATATTCTGGTAGTAGAATACACGGCTAGCATATTCCTAGGATTTATTTGAATGGGATAAACCCTAGCGAGCTATGGCACTCGGGCCCGATATCAGGGTTTCGACGCTGCATTCTCCGCCGATTCTTCGCCGCGCCGTGGCCCCGTGTACCTTGCGGAGAGGATACGCAGGGAATCTGCTATGGCGGGGAGGATTTGTCGGATTGGCGCGGCATTGGCGAGGAAATGCCGTGAGGGATGAGAATGCGATTGCAGGGAAGGGGGAGAAATCAATGCTGGGTGCGCTTAGCGAAGAGGATGAGGATTGCAGCGATGGGAGTGAACAGGAATCCTCCGGGGGAGAGGAGGATTTTGGTTTCGGAGAATTTCGGTTCGCTCCGGACGATGGCGCAGACGAGGGCGCCAATGATGCTAGGGAGGAGCTGGATTCTTTTGCCGAAAGGGCCAGGAGAATCGACGATCTCTGCGCCAAGGTAGCACAGGGAAAACAAATATCTTCTGCCGATCTCATCGGGCTGTATAGCTTCCGTCTCGATAAGTTTCAGGTAATCCATTCGCTCGTTTATTTTTCTCTCGTACTCACAGATATTCGTGTTGGTGATCTAAAGCGTTTGGCTATAGAAGGATTTCTTAAAGGATCATCAGTGGTGGTCAGTGCACCAACAAGCAGTGGAAAGACTTTGATCGCCGAAGCTGCCGCAGCTGCAACGCTGGCTAAATGCAAGAGGTTGTTCTACACGACACCTTTGAAGGCACTCTCAAACCAGAAATTCAGAGACTTCAGGTAAGGAAAGACGTTCTCGGTGGACAAAAAAAAAGACTTAAGTTGCTTCTTTCAGGAAAATTTTCGGTGATTCGAGCGTTGGACTTCTCACTGGTGATGTTTCTATCAATCGAGATGCTCCGATTGTGATCATGACCACCGAGATTATGCGTAACAAGTTTTATTTGAGGTTAGTAATGCTGGGATAGCTTTGGTATTTGACTCCAATTTTTATCACAGTGCTGGAAATGAGGATGTGCTTCAAGACCTCGATGTTGTCGTGCTCGATGAAATCCATTATATCAGTGATCTCACACGAGGCACGGTGTGGGAGGAAACGGCAAGGGTTTTTATATTTGCAATGTAGTATAAATTGCTGACTTTGGAGTTGCAGGTGATATACTGTCCAAAGAGGATTAAACTTGTCTGCTTATCAGCGACTATTGCAAATCCTGACGAGTTAGCAGGATGGATAGCAAAGGTATGTCGGCATTTTTATTTTAAACAAACACTTACACTTTGATGATAAAGGTTCATGGACCAACGGAGCTCATCACGTCGTATAGAAGGCCTGTCCCTTTGACTTGGCATATCTCGAGGCGTTCTCAAATGTTACCCCTTCTGAACGAGAAAGGCACAGCTATCAACAGGTACTCTGTGCTTGTCTCTTTTGTCTAGTCTGAATCAGTTTGCCTTGACACTCAGGAACTTTCAGGAAGCTGCTCATTGATAAGAAACAGTTGGAAGAAGTTAACTCGAGAAAGATCAGGGGAAGGATCAGCACGCTGGAGAAAATGACTGAAGAGCAGCTGCAAGTTCTTCTTCGTGTTCAGGTTTTTCTGACGATACTCTTTGCACACTTATCTAACTCGTGCATTTCATGCCAGGTTCCTCGTATCTCTGACACTCTGAAACAAATGGTAGAGCGAAATATGCTACCAGCCATTTGGTTTATTTTGAGTAGAAGGCGCTGTGACGAAGCCGTGCAGTATTTGCAACACGCGAATTTGCTAGCCGAGGACGAGTTTCAGCAGATTGATCTAGCACTTAAATCTTTTCGAGAGCAATATCCAGATGCGATCAGAGAAGCAGCTGTTCGGCCTCTTTACCAAGGTGTTGCTGCACATCACGCAGGTTGCCTGCCTCTGTGGAAGAGTTTTATTGAAGAGCTTTTTCAAAAGGGATTGGTGAAAGTGGTGTTTGCAACCGAAACGTTGGCAGCCGGGATCAACATGCCAGCCAGAACTACGGTTTTATCATCGTTTTCCGGAAAGTACCAACGAAGAATTAGTGCCAATGTCGTACTTCAGATGGCTGGAAGAGCAGGTAGAAGAGGAATCGACAAAGAAGGTCACGTAGTTGTTGTCCAAACACCATTTAGAGGGCCCGAAGAATGCTACAAAATGCTACGAACAGGGTTGGAACCGCTTGTTTCGCAATTCACAGCTACATATGGGATGGCTCTGAATTTACTAGAGGTGCGTTTTAACTACTAAAGTTTTTCCTCATGTTTGTCTTTGTCATTCTCAGGACTCGGCCGTCGAAAGTGAAACTCTGTCCAGTGAACAACGCCAAAGCTTTGGAGAAGCACGAAGCTTGATTGAACAGAGTTTTGGAAACTATATTGGAAGTGAGATTCTAACGGGTGCGAGAGCTAAGATGGTTCAAATAAGTTCCGAAATCGAGACACTAGAAAGTGGACAGTCTACAGATTCTCTTAGTAAACTGTACGAGGAGAAAATTAACGAGTTCAACAAAATGCGTGAGAAAGTTGAGGTAAATGTCAGCCTAGTTTTTTATATTGTTGGTAACATTCTGTTTGTAGACACAAGAACGCAAAGAGCGAAGCCTTCGTTTTAAATTTGAGAGGCATAGGCTATCCTTTTTGCAGAGTCAGCTTAAACAACTTTCACTGGAGCAAGTTCCATATGTTTTACTGACGTACGAAGATATTAACACTGGCGAAGATCATACGCTTTCTGTGGCTGTTTTCCACATGACAGAAAACAATCCATTTATCCTGGGAGTAAACGAGGTACATACTTCTGTTTTTCTTTCCCATATGTGAATTATGTCTCCCAGAATCACGAACCCAAGGTGGAAGACATGGATGCTTCCTTTATTGGAGTTGGCTGTGACAGTTTTTTATATCGTTTCCCCTTGAAAGTGGTGAGGAAAGTTTACAGGAGCACGATAGGAGCTGAGGAACGCACAGCTCTGAAAAGCAATCTCGCCGATGTTCAGTGGGAAATCGTTGGAAACGATAATGTTTCCCGCTGTCAATTATCATTTCCTCCACATGGTTATGAAGTGCCTGTTCCCAACAATCTTACAAGTGAATGTGCGGTAAGGCATTTTCGTTTTCTTTCATTAGCTGAAGTTCATTGTTTAGATGCCGGAGGAGCTTGTTACTGCCGAGAAATTGCTGCTGATGCAGCAAAGAAGCCTTGGAAAATGGTCAAGGAGGCTCGCGGAGATTGACGAAGTTGAAATTGACAATCTTGTTGCGAAAGTGAAACAAATGCGGGAGGAGAAAGTAGCTCGATTAAAAGCGAAACTGGAACGGATAGGGAATCGTATAAAAGGCATGCAGCCTTCAGGATGGAAAGAATTCTTACAGGTACGTACGTAGGATGGTAAAACTTTAAACTCGTACTTGTTTTATCCAGGTAGTGAAAATCTTGAAAGGTGCTGGAGCAATGGACCGAAACACCCACAAGCTTTTACCACTTGGTGAAATCGCTCGAGCTATACGTGGATCGAACGAGCTTTGGCTGGCTATAGCTCTTCGAGATGAAGCTCTGTTGTCGTTAAAGCCATCAGAGCTAGCCGCAGTTGCCGCCGCACTGGTCACTGAAAGTCCGAAGTCAATTCCAGATAATGAATACAGGTCAGTATCGATTTATGATCTCGATGTTGCTTTAGCCAGTTCCTTTTTCCAGGACGATATACGAGCCCTCCGCTGTGGTGAAAGAATGGGTGGAGAAGATGCAATCTGAACGACTCTGGCTATATGGCTTGCAAGAGAATCACAATGTCGAGGTAAGCCATATTTTCACGTTACTTCCAGTTGCTAAAAAGTTTTTCATGCATTAGTTTGCATGCGATCTGGATCCACAGCTTGCGGGCTTCGTTGAAGCTTGGGCTGCAGGAGTGAACTGGAAAGAGCTAGAGATCGAAGACATTATGGATGAAGGCGATTTTGCTAGACTTCTACGCCGAACCATTGACCTTTTATCTCAGGTTAGTAAATCACTTAACGTTTTCTTTTTTTCTTAACGCTGTTTTCTGGCAGATTCCTCATTTGCCTCACATCGACAGCGAGCTGTCTAAGATCGCCAAAGAAGCTGCCAGAAATATGGATAGACCTCCCATCAGCGAACCCGTGGGAGAATAGTTCAAACTTATGATACATTATACACGCCATTCAACGCTTTTTAGTACACGTTTGGTAGCGGCTGTGCGATTGTCAAGAGAGCAGAGTGCAGCGATTCTCGGGCGAAATGATTGATATCCTTGGCCTGTGGTATTTGATAGAGTTAATTGCATTGCTCAGTGACGGACCATCTTACGTACCTTGCTGTGGATACAATAGATAATCTGGCTACCGTGGGCGGAGACAGTGGCATTGAGAAGTATAAGCTGGTGCTGTCTCATGGCCCACAGAATGTTCACGAACAACGAAGCTCGTCTGCTGCAAGTCATGTTCAGGAAGACATTATCGCGGCACACGTGAAGAGCTACTAGAGGTGTTGAGACAAAGACAACGCTTTGAAAAGAAGGGAGCGTTTCCTGCGATCGCTGGTTTACGATGATTGCACCCGAGTCACCAGAGGTGGACTGAGAAACTCTTGCTGCTCGCTGGAGAATGTCGGACTTCTTCTTGGTGAGCTCCTCGATGCTTAGCCGGAGAAAGCTGATATACTTGATGATCTCTCCTACGACGGTCGACTTGTCCGTCTAGAAAGGCGGAAGAACAGGAACAGAAGAATCAATCAGCCAGATGAGAGAATTTCAAGAAAGAAGAAGACTACCTTCGAGCTTGGTTCTGGCAGTAAGGACCTCAGTATACAGAACAGGCGATTCATCCCTTTGCGACGCTCTCTCTCGGACCAGATGTGACTCTCTCTTTGAGCCAGAGGCCTCTTGCCTGGCCACTTTTGCTGAACACCCAGAGCTTTCTCCAGCACTTGACTTCGACACGAAGAGATTGAAGGTCGCGTCGTAAGCTGCTGCTGGCCTTTCAAGGTGTTGTACCCGGGAATGCGAAGGTCTGCTTCTTTTCCTATTGTCATCGCTTGGAAAACTGACGAGCTACCTTGATTTCTAGCGTCGAGGCTATCCAAGGTCACGCTCAGAGGATTGGAAGAACCAAATGCGAATTGCGCCGGTTGCCAACTCTCAGTTTGGAAGAAGGTGTTATCCATCGCCAATTCACGTTTTTCGATTCCAGCTGCGACAATCAAAGATGAGAGGGGTATGCGCTCTTCCTGTTCTAATTCTATGTGGAGCTTCGGTGGTGTATACTCGCAGGGACCAGGAGCAGAGAATTCAGAACAACCATCAAGATACACAGAAGGATGAAAGCACCGAGAAGCCATTGCTCAACTGGAACCGTCGAACTTGCTAGAGGTCTCTTAAAGCCCCGAGAGCATTACATTCGCGCAATGAAGGAGACAAAAGTGTATGCAATTTGACAACACAAAAACCATCTGAGGCGTTGTATGAGATGCCGGTTGGCTGGCTGCAAAGTTTCCAGGTAGAAAGCAAACTCGAGCTTGAATGCTTTCAGCGCGTGCAACACAAGCACGATGCCATGATATGGACGACGTCTCAACAGATGCCTTGAATGCAGAGAGCTGTGGAAGGCTGTGTGTGACAACAACGTCACCATGCGCAATATCAGGACCGACCTTTACAATTGGCAGCTCAGCTCAGCTCTCTCCAATCCTCAAATGGGGTAAGTAAGTGGTCTCTTTCGTATTTACAAAGACAGCTGGTTGTTCGTTCTATGTATCTCCAGGTTCAACTGGAACCGTTTCCATTACGAAGAAAGAATGTAGGATATCAAAGATTGTGCATTTCAAGGTCGAGAAAGTGAATTGCCTGGCGCTAAATAAGATACGCAGCACAGGAACGAACATGGAGGAGTTATATCAGCTTCTTCAAGGACAAAACGCTGGTCTCCCGGACAACACTCCGTTCCCTGGCACCGAGATGTACGGAATTTGGATTCACGTAAGTTTGTCTGATTCGAGTGCATTTACTCACAAAGTTTTTTTGGAAGGGAAGAGTTGATTCTAACGTTTCTATCACAGCTCGACTCCTTCCGTTTTTGTAGGTGCTCGTTCGAACGAGAAAAACCAACGAGATTCTACAAAGTTTTGTTTCTGTGTCGATCAAGTTTGCCGGTATGTGATATTCAGTTTTCTATCACAGCTAACTCGATCCTTGCGTTTTTGCAGGTGCTCGTTCGAACGAGAAAAACCAACAAGGTGCCACAAAGTTTTGTTTCTGTGTTGATCACGATATTAACTTTTAACTCGACTCCTTGCGTTTTACAGTGCTCGTTCCAACGGGATGCCACTTACCTGGCCTGAATGGTTACCGCTGCTGAGACGCTCAAGGATTGCGTCGAGCTCATTCGGTCTTGAACCGGGCTCGAGAGATTCCTTCTCGCGGCATCCCTCATGCTGAGCTCGCGGCTCTAACTCTCGAATCTCCTTGTGGAGATGTACGGCAGGTGTGGGAGCATCGAGAGCGCCGAGGAGACCTTTGCGGGAATTTCTCCGAAAGACTCTCACTCGTGGGTTCTCATGATCTCCGCGTACGGAAAGAATGGGTTTCTCATCCAGGCTAAGAAAACGTTTGATCTAATGCCGGATCCCAGTCTAGTTGCGTGGAATTGCCTTCTCGGCGCGTTATACCCGGCTTGGGCATTTGCGAGAATCCGAGCGAATCTTTTGTGGAATGCCTGCGTGGGATATCTTCTCACATACAGCGATGCTTGCCGTATTTGTAAATGCGAAGTGTTTTGTTTGATGCCATGCCGGAGTGGGACGTGGTTTGCTGCAACACACTATTGGCAGCAAATGAAAGCAGGCAAATGATTTGTTTGATTCGATGCGCGAGTGGACACTTCTGTCATACAAACACCATTCTAAACATATTATCGAGAAGATCAAAAGGTTGCATTCTTTGATTCTATGCCCACCAGAGAGAATGTTCTCAAATTGGGTAACCAAAAGCATTGTTTTCTAGCATGAAAATGCAGGATACAATGGCTGAATGCTGCTTTCGTATGAATTGCATGGCGTTGTGGAGGAATCTACAGTACTTGTCGCGTACTGGGATTTGTGCTTTTCGCATATACCCTGAACGGGCATCTTGAAGATGCTATGCTATTATGCTCTCGGCATATTCCCAGTCCGGAAATCTTGACCAGGCCGTGTCTTTGTTTCGTATGTTCTTGCAGAAAGACCAGGCCAAGCAAAGCTTCGTGGAATATAATGACCAAAGATCTTGACTCCTTTTGCGATTTTCTCTTTGTGTTCTAGATCTTTCGAGTGCTGCTCTTTGTCTACTTCTTCACTCATATTTACCTTCATTTTGATCAGGTAAGCGTTTTGGTAATTGTTGTTTTACTTGTAAATGCTAGGTGGTGGCGGGCATGGTTATACATTGGAAATGGGTTTATAATCCTTCTTATTATTACCATACACATCATTTGCGACCCTTGGTATTGTTTCAACGAGTCTTCTCATGAGAGCCAATTACATAGAGAGGCGGCCATGGTTGCATCCAGCCCAAAGGCAAGTTTTCAGAAAGTTTATAAATTATTAAGATTTTTATAAAATTTGTTTCAGAAAGTCTAAATAAACATGTTTATAATATAACACAATGGAATATGCCAGAAATTCCAACCATATTCTCCTTGCTTAACCAAACCACATAAAATCTCTCACATGCTAATGTCATATTAAGTCAACAAAGAAGGGGCATCGACTAACATTGTATCGACAAGAATCCGCAACATGGCATTTTTTTATTACATGAGTAAAACCTGGGAGTTTTTTTCTCACTCGAACGTTTCTCGTGCAAAGCGTTTAGAAACTTGTCATCAATTCGTTTTTGGGAAGCGTTCTTCTCATGGATCTCGGCCACTGTTGTGCACTGGTGGTGGGATTTAACAGCGTGGATTCCAGCTATAAGGCTGTTAACGGGCCAGGACGAGCCCATTACCGCATTTAAGGTGCAAGCCCGGCGATAGCGGTCAACGGGCAAGCCCTGGCCCGTTGACCGCCTTAACAGGCAGTGGCAAATTGTAGCACTGTAATAAAAAACAACGCGATGCGAGTGATTGAGGCACAGGACATCTGTAGAGTTCCAAATCCCCCTCTCTATGGTCGCCAGGGAGCTCTCCTCGCAGATCCACAATCTTGTTTTTGAGAAGTACTACCTCAAAAGGTCGATCCACGCTCTCAACCTCACTAAGTGTCGCACAACATGTTACTACATACATGCAATCATACTGCTTCTGGTACATGGTATCTGGTAGTACTATGACAATACTCAATCACAGTTATCATTCTTGTAACATATGAATCTATTTTTATTAGGATTTGCTCATATTTTATGGCACCTAGATATTTGCTTAGCAGCATGCAAGCACACCGTCGTTGTTCTTGATGCAATTGCCAACGTTTATTGTGGTGGACATGTATACCCCGTTGGGTTTAGCACACTCAGCATTGATGTAGGCCCTGGGAGTAGCATAGTAGCACCTCACATTCATGCATGTCGCTTGGAAACCGTGGCCACAGTTCAAGGACCTTCCGTTGTTGCTGATGCAAGTGTTCACATCCAGGCTGCTCACCCTCCGCAAACCATTCCTATCAGGACAAGTTGCAACAAGCTGACAGCCGTTGTACTTGATATTTTGGCATGAGTTTTCAAAATGATTATCAGGAGGACACAGGGCGCTTGTACCATGGAAGATGGCCAATAGCACCAAGACGAGATGGATCAAACAGAATGCCATGGGGGTAGAATGCTGTATTATGGATCAACCTAGCTTCAAACTTTGAACTTTATAATCCAATGAGCCGTGGGTTTTCATGATCTCCGCGTACGGAAGGAATAAGCTAAGAAAACGTTTGACCTAATGCCGGATCCCAGTCTAGTTGCGTGGAATTGCCTTCTCGGCGCGTTATGCCCGGCTTGGGCATTTGCGAGAATCCGAGCGAATCTTTTGGAATGCCTGCGTGGGATATCTTCTCACATACGGCGATGCTTGCCGCATTTGTAAATGCGAAGTGTTTCGATAATGCGAAGGTTTTGTTTGATGACATGCCGGAGTGGGACGTGGTTTGCTGCAACACTCTAATGGCAGCAAATGAAAGCTACGATCAGGCAAAAGATTTGTTTGATTCGTTGCGCGAATGGGCACTGGTGTCATACAACACCATTCTAAAAACATTATCGAGAACATTAAAAGCTTGTGATGCAAAGAGCTTCAAAGAGCAAAGAGATTCTATGCCTGCCAGAGATATGTTCTCGTGGAATGTCCTTTTGATAACTTACGCCCAAAGTGGGTATCTTGGTCATGCAAAATCTTTGTTTTCAGGCATGAAAGTGCACGACTCAGTGGCTTGTAACACAATGCTGCTTTCGTATGTAATCCATGGCGTTGTAGAGGAATCTACTGTACTTGTCAGCTCCATGCCGTGCTGGGATTCCGTCACTTGGAATAACATGGTTTTGGCATATACCCAAAAAGGGCATCTTGAAGATGCCATTAGAGTATATGACAAACTGTACTGTCATGCTCTCGGCATATTCGCAGTCCGGAAGGCCATGCCTTTGTTTCGTAGATTCTCGTTCTAAAGGCCAGGTTCTAGTATGTTGGCAATGGATGCCTCGAATATGCGCAGGCTGTGCTTGTTAGAGCTCCAAAGCTTAGCTCTGTTTCGTGGAATATAATGGTGGCGGAAAATGCGAAAGTTGGCGAGGTTTTGAGATTGGTACACATGATGGTGGTGGAGGGAGTCGAGCCTGAGAATATGACGCTCCTTTCCATCTTGGTTGGATGCAACCATGGCGGCGATGTCTACACCGCTTGGAAATACTTGCAGTGCATGGTTTGTGACTTTGTTATTGTTCCAACGAGGGAAAGACAAGCCAGTATAAAAGAATAACTAGAACTCTCTTTGGGAAAAGGGTGCCAATCTCTCATCCATATGCCTTGCGACTGTAGACCCCAGTCTGGTCCTGAGCTCGTCAAAACCCCGACTACGTCGCCACCGACATCCGAAGCGAGAGCAACTTCCTTTCTTGACTAAGTCAACAATGGTTGGCGAAAGCGAAAGAAGAGAAAGAAGGCTGAGTCTCTTCAAGACTTCTCATGGATCTCTCGGCCACTGTAGCGGCTGGAGTGGCACTGGTGGTGGGATTTATCAGCGTGGGCTTCCAGTTATGGAGCTATCTTCATGGTGAGCGCCTGAGGAGGCACAGGGTATCCGCGGAGTTCCAAATCCCTCTCTCCATCGCGGCCAGGGAGCTCTCCTCGCGGATCCACAGTCTCATCCACAGGGGCTTTGAGCAATACTATGTCAAAGGTCTCCCTCGCCACAAAGAGTACGTATGCGAGAACACCATCTTTCTCTTTGGGAGGCTCTTCGCGTGGTTCCAAATCGTCCATGCGAATAGAAGCCGTTTGGATCTCCGCGAGAACGAGCGTAGACATCTCGACAAGAAGCTTGACGATATTCGTCTCGCCTTTTCGAGCGATCTTGGCTCGCCGGTGTTTCATTTGCTTGGAGGCGAGCAGCAGGCAATTGGCGAGGAGTTTTCAGCGAAGAAGAGCGATGGATCATCTCTGGTGGATCGTCAGTGCTTGACATACTCGGAGTATCTGAGGAGCGAGGAGGTGAGGAAGCATGCCGAGCCGCTGCGGGAGTATGTGAAGATTTTCATAGCTGCGAAGAACTCGGTGGTGGTAGAAGAGCATCAAAATTCGTCGCCCCGCGATTACTTGGCGAAGAAACTGCGATACGAAGCGATCGCGAAGAGGCTACTGGAGAGGATGAGTGACTCCAAGAGTAGTAGTCACGGCCACTGGGAGCTTGGAATCGCAAAATCGAAGGGATATCTCAGCCATTTGGGGAACTTCGCGAAGTTGAGCGTGGAAGCGCGGGAGTGGAGGAGAAGGAAACGAAAGAATTTAATGCAGAGAAAAGGTTTTCTAATGCAAGGATGACGGAGCCGTCACTGAAACCCAAACAAAGATGGTATGTGAAAACAAGTAGATGGTCAAGAGATAAAAATATCAGAGACAATCGTATCTCAGCAATGGTTATTTATATACGCCGAGACAATATTTCGTTTCTCTTTGTTCATGGCTTTGTTTTCGTGATCAAGGTTGCTGGATGGGAAGAGCTACTGCCTCAGTATGTGACATAAATTTTTCTACTACATCTAACTCGACTCCTTTCCTTTTTGTCGTTCGAACGTGTTTCTGTGTCGATCACGATTGGTATGTGATATTAACTCAATGACTCCTTGCGTTTTTGCAGGTGCTCGTTCGAGAGAAAAACAAACGAGATGCCACAATCTGTGTCGATCAAGACTGCTGGATGGGATCTACGTGATATTAACTTTTCCATCGAATGGTTACCGCTGCTGAGACGCTCAAGGATTGCGTCGAGCTCATCCGGTCTTGCCGCAGCGAGAGCCGGGCTCGAGTGATTCACGAGTGGGTCTTCTCGCGGCAGTCTCTAGTGCTGAACTCGCGGCTCTATCTCTCGAATCTCCTCGTGGAGATGTACGGCAGGTGTGGGAGCGTCGAGAGTGCCGAGAAGATCTTTGCGGATATTTCTCCCAAAGACTCCCACTCGTGGGTTCTCATGATCTCCGCGTACGGAAGGAATGGTTTTCTCGTCCAAGCTAAGAAAACGTTTGATCTAATGCCGGATCCGAGTCTAGTTGCGTGGAATTGTCTTCTTGGCGCATATGCCCGGCTTGGGCATTTGCAGGAATCCGAGCGAATCTTTTGTGGGATGCCTGCGTGGGATATCTTCTCATATACGGCGATGCTTGCGGCATTTGTAAATGCGAAGTGTTTTGATAATGCGAATGTTTTGTTTGATGACATGCCGGAGTGGGACGTGGTTTGCTGCAACACTCTAATGGCAGCGAATGAAAGCTACGATCAGGCAAAAGATTTGTTTGATTCGATGCGCGAGTGGACGCTGGTGTCATACAACACCATTCTAAATACATTTGCGAGAACGTCAAAAGCTTGCGATGCAAAGAGCTTCTTTGATTCTATGCCCGCCAGAGATATGTTCTCGTGGAATGTTCTTTTGAAAACTTATACCCAAATCGGGTATCTCGATCAAGCGAAAACCTTGTTTTCTGGCATGAAAATGCACGATACAGTGGCTTGTAACACAATGTTGCTTCTGTATGAAATGCATGGCGCTGTAGAGGAATCTACTGTACTTGTCAGCTCCATGCCGTACTGGGATTCCGTCACTTGGAATAACATGCTTCTGGCATATACCCGAAATGGGCATCTTGAAGATGCCATTAGAGTATATGAAATACTGCCTTCAAACCTTGTCTCCTGTACTGTCATGCTCTCGGCATATTCCCAGTCCGGGAATCTTGACAAAGCCGTGTCTTTGTTTCATAGGTTCACGTATAAAGACCAGGCGCTATGGAATACTCTTCTGGCTGCCTATGTTGGTAATGGATGCCTCGAATATGCCCAGGCCGTGTTTCTTAGAGCTCCAAAGCTCAGCTCTGTGTCGTGGAATATAATGGTGGCGGGCAATGCGAAGGTTGGGTTTATTAGCGAGGTTTTGAGATTGGTACACACGATGGTGGTGGAGGGAGTCGAGCCTGAGACTGCGACGCTCCTTTCCATCTTGGTTGGATGCAACCATGGCGGCGATGTCTACACTGCTTGGAAATACTTGCAGTGCATGGTTTGTGACTTTGGTATTGCTCCAACGAGGGAAGTTTACTGCTGTGTGCTAGATCTTCTCATGAGAGCCAACTACATAGAGGCTGCAAGGGATTTGTTTTACAACATGCCATTTGAGCCGGAAGCAGTTGACTGGAAATGCATGAACAGATTATTCCAGGCCATGAGACTAGTATAAAAGAAAAGGGGTATTATATAAGTACAGTGAAAAATGGCTGATTAAAAATGCTTTAATCTTTGCAGGATCAAATCCAATTAGAGGAAAAACAAAAGGGATGATTCTATTAGTGGCTAATTCTATTTCTATCATTTTGTTTTTCACTCATCTTTATTTCATTTCTTCCTGATGGTTAGTTATCAAATACCATTAATTAAATTATTACAGCTGAAAAATTATTATAAGACTTTTTTATAAGAATAAATTGTCGTATAGATCTAATTTTTATAAAATTTATTTTATAATAATGTTGTAGTGGTTTTTTGCTATTTATGCTTCCTTTGTTTTTATTATAAGGAAATTTTTTTATAGATATTTTTTAAAAGGTTTAATCTTCAACTTGGCAAAGTAAGAGTGGAATTGTCTAGCCATGCTCTCACAGACACAGTCCTTAAAGTAGAGTAGGCGAGATTTTGGATCACACCATCTTTCTCTTCAAAAAGTTCAGCAAAAGAAGCCGCCTGGATCTCTGCGAGGATGAGCGTAGAAGAAGCTGGACTATATTCGCCATGCCTTCTCCAGCCCATGGCGAGCAGCAGGCAATGGGCAAGGAGTTTGCGGCGATGGTGGATCGTCAGTCAGTGCTTGACGTATCTGAGGAGCGAGGAGGTGATCGAGGAAGCCGAGCCGCTGCGGGAGTATGTCAAGATCTTCATCGCTGCAAAGAACGCGGTGGTGGTAGCGAAGCATCAAAATTCGTCGCCCCGCGATTACTTGGAGAAGAAACTGCGATACGAAGCGATCGTGAAGAGGGTGTTCTCGATCTGTGAGCCACTGGAGAGACTCCAAGAGTAGTAGTCACGGCCGCCGTGGAATCGCGAAAATCGAAGGGATACCATAGCCATTTGGAGAACTTCGCAAAGTTGAGGTTGATCACGACGTCTATGAAGTTTAAAATCGACAATGCGAGGGAAGGGGTTTAAACCTAGGTTTCTATTTTCTTCCCAGCGATGGAGCCCGAGGGGGGCGAGGGCGAGGCGGCGGAGGAGCAAGAGGAGGATCAGGTAGCCTACATTCTTTCTCGATCGATAGATCACGTCCCGGCGCCCACTGACGCGCTCGATTCTTGCGAAAGGCGCAGGTGTACATGGCGTGCATTCTACAAGGCAGCCGGTGTGGATTTCTCTTTCCTCTTCGATCTTTGTTTTGATTCCCCTCTCAGGCTTGGCGCCGCGTACTACGAGCTCGATTCAGCCACTTTGTATGTGATGGATGCCTGGGAAGAGGAAAATGCCGACTATCCTTGCGTCCAGCTCGGTATGATGTTTAGCGACTTTTGTAGAGAGCTCCGCGATTTGGGTTTTATGCTTGACGCAGTTAAGTTCCAAGCACAGCCGGCGATCATCTATACCAGCACAAAAATGGAAGAGTCTTTTATCGGCTCTCTTCGAAAGCAAGGTGGCTTCTTATCGTGTTTGTTTCTCTTTCTCTTTTGCATTCCATGACTTTGTTTTCGTGATTTGCAGTTGACGAGGAGACACAAGGTGCGGAGGTAAAGCTTGTGAAGAGTTCTTACTTCAGTTACGAGCAAGCTTGGCACAGGTTAGGATGGATGATAAGCAATTCGATTTTAGCCTGCTGACATGTGTACAGGCTAATGCAGCTCCAGCTGCGTGGAATGCATCGTGATTTGCCGCAAAAGGAGAGAATCCATTATGTGAGTGTCTCAAGTCTTTTTTAAATCTGTGATGACGAGACCTCTATGCCAATGCAGCTGAACACTTTGATGAATCTCGAGAGTGAGATGCAAGTTCGTGCTGCTGGTGCGCTCATAGCGATACTACAGCAGGAGCTGATGCCTGAATCGTCAGATGCCGAGGATGGCGTTTCGAGATTGCGCATATTCAACGTGTCGGAGCTGTCCCTGTATCCTCTTTCGGTTCATTTTCCAATGCCTTATATTTTATTGTTCTAGGAATGGATTTTTGAATCTCGACGCGACGACTTACGATGCACTACAAATTTTTCAAGTCGACAAGCATCCCAGCCACATGGGAATCGGCAAACCAAAAGAAGGGTAGACATGGCGAGAGGAACGTTCATAGTCTAACATAATAAAGTTTATCAGGTTTTCCGTCTTCGGTATGATGAATAAGGTACTTTGCAGTTCTTTACAACAGGCACTGACTCCTGGATTTCAGTGTGTAACGTTAATGGGAAGACGGCTACTGAGGTACTTCCAAGATTCTAGTCTATAAGTTATCCATACAAATATTGGCAGGACGTGGTTTTCCCGACCTATACTGGACTGGGCTGCATTGAACGACCGTTTGGATACTGTATCCTTTGTAGGTCTTCGCTTTCTCGAGTCATTGACGGAGAAAAAGATATCGGTCCTGAAGTCATCACATGATCTAACTCAGTTGCTGCAAAACACAATGAAGCAAGTGAAAAGTATTCCGCGGTTGCTGCAAGTAAGAGGCTGCATCCTGTTCCTGCCTCATGCCTTTGTTTCAGAAGTTTGCATCACCGAGCTTCCTTTCAAGTCGTACGGACTGGTCGACGTTTCTAAAAGTTTGTGAATCAGTGTGGCACTTTTGATTATTTGTTAACGAATCCGTCTCTCAGAGCATCAATGCACTTATTGAAATCAGGCAAACTCTAGCAGCTTTTCTTTCAAGCCGGCAAGACAGAGTGCAAATCTCCAACCTGGAGATATTTCAAAAGGTTTGCCGTAGATAATTTGATTGCCTACATTGACGGTTTGAATGCATTGCAGGTGTTTTCAACCGTTACGGAAGATTTTGCTTATGTTAGCGACCTGGTAAGGTCACTAAATTTTGATAGTTTTTGACACATCGACTTCAAGGTCAAGGGAGTTCTTGATTTTGATCAAACCTGTGGCGAGGCCTGTGATACATTTGTCGCGCGTGGTATATGTCAAGAAGTAAGCTGTTTCTTCTGTGGGAGCCCCTCGTTTACTTTTCTTTTCTTCGTAGCTAGATGAGTTGAAAGCAATCTACGACGGTCTTCCACAATTCCTGGACGAGGTATGGCAATAGCTGCAAGCTACTTGCTGAATCTGATTCCTTTTTTCTCAGATTGCATCATCGGAGATTAAAAAGTTACCACGTCAGAGACAAGGCTCCATAGTCTATATTCCACAAGTTGGTCAGTCAGCTTTTTAGTTTCTTTCTACAGCTGCTGGTTGGTAAAACAGGGTACTTGATGTGTTTTCCTGGCGAGCTTAAGCCAGAAGTGCTAGAGATAGCTCCAGACTTCCAACTCGCTGTAAGCGCGCTAGAGGTTGTTTGAACTGACTTTAGGCAAACGACTCTCAGTTCAAAAGTGGGTGTGGCAACGACGAAGAATTTTTCTATCACACAACCAAAACCAGGGAACTAGACGAGGTGCTGGGAGATATTTACTACAAAATTCTGGGTAATCACTTTGGCTTTTATGACGTTCACGGTTATTTTCTGAATCTTTCAGATATGGAACGCGCCATTTTGAAGGAGCTGGAGTCTAAAGTGCAAAAGTACGAACCCGCAGTTAGATATTCAGCGGACTTGACTGCGCAGCTGGATTGGTAGCTTGAGTTCTTTTCTAGCAAATCATTTATCTTTTTATTTTATTTCTACCTTAATGCAGTCTCGTATCAATGGCAATAAGCGCAGGCGAGTATAACTACAACAGACCTCGACTCGTTGAAGATGACATACTGATAATAAAGAACGGAAGGTACAAAACAGGGATCTGCTCTCTAAAACTTGGAAAAAATTGTCAGGCATCCTTTACAAGAACTGACAGTCGATACGTTTGTTCCAAACAACACGCAAATTGAAGAGAAAGGTTAGATAATATGTGTCTGTTTGATGCTGATTTCTTTGTCTACAGGGCGAATTTCTGTTGTAACTGGTCCAAATTACTCCGGGAAAAGCGTCTACATCAAGCAAGTAAGTTAGAGCAGTCACTTATGTATTTTTTTCTAATCTGACTGTTAAGTCCCGCAGGTTGCGCTTATTGTCTTCCTTTCACACATCGGGAGCTTTGTGCCGGCAGATGAGGCAGTGATCGGCACTACAGACAGAATCTTTACTCGGTTGCCATGCAAGCAATCTACCAAGGTTCCTCAGTCAACTTTTATGACTGACCTCCATCAAATATCAGTAATGCTAAGGTAAGCATTCATTTTTATGTGTTGCGGGGTGATAAACAACGTTTTCAGATATGCAACTTCAAAGTCGCTATGCTTAATTGACGAGTTTGGCAGTGGCACAATGTCTGCAGGTATTATGCGATTAACGCGAACAAAAAAAAAAAAAAGAGGAAACAATAAACTACACATGGGATTTGTTTTTGTAGATGGCATTGGTCTTCTATGCTCAACACTTCACCACTTTGCTGGTTCTGAATCCTCGCCGAAGGTCTTCATCCCGTTTTGTTTTCCTCTGCTTTCCTGACAATTGTCATTTTAGATTCTGGCATGTACACATTTCAGTGAATTGTCGGAAGGATGTTTTCTGCCCAAGGTGAAACGCTTTTCTACTTAGCGTGTTGTAAACATCTTTTTGCAGTCGCCAAGGATAGCTTTCTATACGATGAGCATCCTAGAACCGACAGGCAACAATGGCGACCCCAACCGACTGGCAGATATCGTCTTTCTTTACAGGTAATCAGCCTATCTCTTTGATTCAAATTTTGAAATATTCAGCTGCAGACTTGTCCCGGGATACCAGGCCCCTAGCTACGGTAATATAGGTTTTCTTTTTCATCCATGCTTACATTTGTTTTTTAACTCAGGCCTTCACTGTGCTGAACTTGCTGGTACGTGGCTGTAGCTTTTACCACGACTTTTCTAAAAGGTTTTGCACCAGGTGTCCCTCATGAAATAATCAACAGAGCAGCAGAGATACTGGAGTCCATGAAGATGGGCAAATCTATCCATCGTCTTCAAGTTCCAAAAATTGTTGCCAGGGATCGGGAATATCAGGTGATCATTTTTCCTTAGAAGTTCCTAATTCTTGTTGTGGCGATGCAGGAACTTGTAGACCAGCTGGTAGCTTTCGACTGTAAAAACGGGGACGTGAACAAGTTCTTGCACGAGCTTTTGTCGTTCTAAACCATCGGTTATAGGGCCACGTGGACGGTCGGTTGGCGTTCGCCATTCCTCGTCCATGCCTGTTCGCAACGTGAATGAATATCCACACATTGAGGTGGGCATGCTTTTGCAAATCTTGTTCCTTTTGTTTTGTATGGCAGTGCTTCTGCATCTCGGGGTAGAATGTGGGGACCGGAAGAGTGTGTTCACTCGTGCATTTACGTTTGCAAAGGACTAAATGACATTCAGGGGAACGCGTGGTTGATAGTTCTTGTTTTTGCGGTCGGCTTCGTCGCTGGGAAGTTTGAGCTTGGCAGTTTCGTGTTCACATTCGTCCTTCGAGGGCCATCAGATGCTGTGCTGCAAGGTGAGCAGGGAACTCAGAAGTGCTCGGGAGGAAGAAACAGCTCCAACGCTAGTCTCGACAAGGTTTTGCCGAAGGCCAGGGACACGTCACGGCCACCAAACAAGCTCAGGAAAACAAAAAGCACTGATCTTAGCTCCAAAGAATTCAACAAGGCAAAGTCCAACGTCAGGTCGTCAACCAGTGAGGAAGGTGAAGTTTTGGCATCAGCTCAGCCATCTCCTAAATCGGACTCCGGACAGTCGACTTCGAGCTCATGCTCCTCCGGCAATCCTTTGCTTGTGGGGTCAAAGGGGACGTCTCCAACCAGCAGCTTCGAACTAAGTCCTCTTGGAACCGGCTCATCAACACCAAGCCCACTCTATGTAAGGAGACTGGCTGCGGAAGGTACAACAGAGTTCGTGATCCCTGAAGACGACCATGCAACAGGCGATACAAGTACTCCGGTGCAGACATCCGTGAGGAAACCAAAACCGGTTATCATTCCAGTTTACCCCGAGCCTTCCGCCAGGAACACGCCGTCGACACCGTCTACGTCGTCGCCCGCCTATTACTCATCGGAGAAAACACTGCCAGCTGTTGCATGGATGTGTGGGAAGAACATCCAGCTTGACAGCGAGAGGTGGCTCGACTTGGTAGATCCAAGTTTAGACGCTTTGTATGGTAGGGAATGGGCGCTTTCTTGTCATCCAGACGATGTCAAACAGTGCAAGGAGGTTGTTTCGTCGGCGCCGGCGACGAAGACACCGTTCCAGATGGAATACCGCTTGAAGGTATGGCAAAGTGTGGGTTTCTACTCATTTCTCGTTTCTCTTGCTTGTGTGCAGATTTTTACGAATCAGTACCGGTGGATACTTGACATAGCCAAGCCGAGGCTATCCGTCACCGGAGAGCTCCTTGGTTTTGTTGGGTGGAGAGTTGATATTCACGACAGGAAAACCATAGAAGAAAAGTACCTGAATTATTGGACGCTTCCGCACGAATTTTTGGTCAATTGGAGTGGAGATGGTACCTTCTTTGATAAGATCAGCCCCGCTTTTCCAGAAACACTTGGGTAAGTTCATTTTATTTTGGTCTAAGCTCGTTAAAAGGACATAGCAGATACACTTACGAGGATTTCAAGTCCAAGCCATATATGAACTTTGTGCATGTGGATGACTTTGAGCGTACGCGGGTTGCTGCTCAGGCTTTGAAAGACGGAGATACTGTCATCAACTTCGCAAACCGTTACCGCTGTGGTGAAAACGTATATCTTCTCTTGTTTATTCGAATGTCTGATCATTCCTTCTTGTTCTCCATCGTAGCCAACTGGCCCAGTTGTTATCGACGCTACTGGCACGTACAAGTGGATTTTATGGACAGCAAGCCTGACATTTGCGGCTGGAAAAGATATAACCAGCGTCAAGCTTGCAGAGGAGGAGCTGCGAGAGTCACAGCAAGAACTTCGCAGGCAAGGCCTTTCGTGCATTTCACACGAGCTAACCATGGGTTTTTTTCTTCAGAACAGAATCACGGATTTGATTCCAGGTTTGGACAGCACCATAATTTTCAGGATAACAGTCGGAATGTTCAGGGGGTGTTTTCTCCTACCGAATCACCAAGGAAGGTAAAGAATGCTTCCCATTCATGAGTAAAGGCGCACTTGATATGCTCAGCGGCCACACTAAAGGTCAGATTTGTAGTCAGATAGTTCAAAGATGCTGATTACTTGTTTCTCAGATTCTGCTACTGATGTTTTTAGTGAGAGAAGGGCATTCGGTAAGTTATTGGTAGCTTACTTGCGGAATTGTTTTTATCCTGTGCACGCAGGAATGACAGTGCTTCGTGATGACTGGGATGATGTGAAAGTTCAGATGCTCGAATCTCAAATTTCAGGAGCCCCCTTTGATTGTCATTTTCGGTACCTGTTTGGAAAAGATTTTCAAGCGTGACTGACAAACAAGATTTCTTGCAGTGTTGAATCGAATCGTCATCACTGGGTTCGAGTACATGCTGCCCCGAAGCTGCTGGATGATGGAACAACTGAGTGGTCTGGCATTGCTCTGGACAAGACGTTAGAGTACGAGACACTGGATGCTCTTAGAGAAGCACGGGATAATGCAGAGAAGGCTGCTCAAGCTAAAGCTACGTTTCTGGTATGGAGCTTCTTTTGTCAATTCTGTGAACTAAATCGTTTGCAGGCTCACATGTCCCATGAGATCCGGACGCCAATGAATTCAGTGATCGGAATGTGTACACTTCTTTTGGAAACTGCACTTACAGATGAGCAACATGAATACGCCTCTACTATCCGACACAGTGGAGAAGCATTGATTGGAATTATAAACGATATTCTTGACTATAGGTTGGCAACCAAGTTTAGATTCCTTCTTACGTTTCTAGTATTGCAGCAAAATCGAGGCTGGTAAAATGGAACTTGAGCTCAGGCCAGTTAACTTAACACGCTGCGTTGAGGAGACGTTTGATAGCATTTCTCCTCTAGCAGCTATCAAGTCTCTTGAATTGACATACTCCATCACGGAAACTGTAAGGCCTGGCTTAATTTGCCTCCACTTCGACTTACAATGTATACGCAGGTCCCGAAAGTTGTTCTTGCGGACTTGATTCGAATCAGGCAAATCCTGGTGAGAGAATTTCTGCTGAATATGCATATCACAACAGTTTTTCACAGATAAATCTTCTCAGTAATGCTGTGAAGTTCACAAGTAGTGGTGGTGTTTACCTGAGCATCAATGGCCACAGGACAGCCAAAAACTTGTGGGACATTCAATTTTCTATAAAGGACACAGGCTCAGGCATTCCAGCCAACCGAAAAAACTGTCTTTTCCAGGTACACCGATCTAATCTGTATATGTAAGAACCCAAGCAAAAAGACTTACTCGTGCTAACAATGTGGAATTATGCGCAGGCCTTTTCACAGGTTGACGCGTCAACAACTCGCAAATATGGTGGCACAGGACTTGGCCTGGTGATATGTGCTCGTTTATGCAAACTACATGGAGGTCGTATATGGTAACCGCTTGATTAACTAGACGCTCGACTTGATTATGATCTCTTCAGGGTGGAGACTGACTTGGGAGCTGGAAGTACCTTTCACTTCACGATCCGCGCCGAAGAAGTGCAATGTGTCACCAACGCCAGCGTCAAAGACGATGCCACTGCAAGCCTTCATGGGAAGCGAGTTCTTGTTGTCGATGCTTGTAGCAGCAACACGCAAGCAATGTGTGCAAATATTCTGAAGAGGTAAAGCATCATCTGCGTTTTCCTGCGTCCTCAAATCTCGCTTGTGGTTTTTTCAGTTTCGATATGAGGCCAATATGCGCGAGTGACAGCAAAGATGCTTTGGCTTTGCTACGTCAAATGGCGGCCGAGCTTTATGTCGTGATATTCAACAATGTATTAGTAAGTTGTCTGTATTCCCATACCTCAGCATCTCATTTGTGTTCAGTTTGATGCAACAGACAATAGCCAAGCCGTGGAGTGTTTAAAATATTGCCAGGACGACTCACACATCCCAACTGTGATACTTGTTCCCTTTGGGGAGCGCCAGCGAGAGTACCACTTCCCGGTAAAATCCCATGATATCGAGTACCTCTCACTCTGTCCTGCTCCAGGGTGTTGACAAACCGATCAGATTCCAAGCCTCCGTTTGTAAGCCTATCAAGGAGTCGCAACTTCGCGGTGTTTTATTGAGTTTCATGCCTCAAACTTCACTCCGACAGCAGCATGAGGTGGTTTCCTCTCCAAAGAGGCTGGTCGAGGTGTCGAAAATGTGCCCGCTACGCATCCTGGTGGCCGAAGACAATCCGATCAATCGGAAGGTTTGGTTGCTCGATTCCTACACCTTGAAAGATCAAACGAGACTTCTTTTCTGTGTTTCAGGTTATTATAAAGTTGCTCGGGAGACTAGGATACGAAGCTGATGTAGCTGAGAATGGGCTAGAAGCACTAAAACGGGCCAAGGAAAACAAGTAAGAAGCTATCCTTTTGGTTTTTTTCTGGAGTTCTTCTCTGCTACTCTGTCGCTCCAGGTACGATGTTTGCTTGATGGATTGCTACATGCCCGAGATGGATGGGCTCCAAGCATGTAGAAGAATCAAACAAGAAGTTGCTTCGCCCCCGCTCGTCGTTGCTGTAACCGCGGCTGCTCTGGAAGAGGAGATGCGCCAGTGTTACGAGGCCGGCATGTATATGTAAGTCTACTTTTCTCTCTCGGCGTTCTCCTTTTGTTTTCTTTGCTTATTACTTTCTTCCAGGTGTTTGTGCAAGCCGATCAATGGGGACGACCTCATGCAAACGTTGCAAAAGTGCTGGCAACTTATCAACGAGAAGCCGGCCTCTTGAAAAATATATGTGTAAGCTTTAGTGTGTGAATGTGGACTTCCAGCGACCACAGTGGGATTCGAACCCACGACCTTCAGATCCGAAGTCTGACGCGCTCATCCACTGCGCTACGCGGCCATTAACGACGAGCTTGGGCACAAGAACAAACACGACGACCAAGTAAGAAAAGAAAGTTATGCTTCCATTCTGATAGTTTTATGGCAGGAGAAACCTATCGCAAGCTTGGAGAAGGCGAGAATGATCGATCCAAGCTAGTTGGAGTCGCGGTTTTGTGAGTATCTAGTGTCTAAGTTCCCGGTGATCACGGCCGCATCGTGCAACTTGGATTATCTAACTCGAAAGCTAAGTTATAGACTCGTTGCGTACGATAAAAACAAAGTTTCTCTATACTTTCATCGTGGTTCCTGTCTTTGAAAAAAGTTGTGACAGGTTTCCTTGGGAGAAATATAGAACTATAAGTACCTTTGGCTACACTTCCGCAAACTTCGCAAGTACCTCTCTTACTTTTTTTTACTGAGCGGATCCATCGGACATTAGTAAGTGTTGGTGGACTTGAAATGCTCGTCGTCGACAGTGGAATAAACGTAACCTTCGTTCACCAGAAACTCCACCGCATCTCTGCGAGTGTTAAAATATTATCAGGAGCCTTCACCGATGAAAACGTAATATCACCTGACTTGCTTCTTGGAGAAACCAGTAATGCGTCTCGCAATCTCATCAACGTGAAGGCCCTGCTCACTTTCCCTGCCAAGAAATAAAACAAGCACCGGAGTATTTAACATCATCGCAAGCTTCGAAATGCGAAAGCTACGGACTTAACAGATGGCTCCTCAAAAACCGCCTGTACCCGGCGTTGGCATTCACTCATCCCATTGGAATTCGCAGGAGCCGCTGGAGTAGCATACTGCCAAGGAATAAAAAAAGAACGGTGCGTTACTTCCCCGTTACATGGATTTTACAATGCACTTACCGGATTGGATACGGGATTGGAATAGTTTGTGTGATTGAAAGTGGGAGGAGACGCGGGACCGTCAGGCCTTGCCGCCCCCTAGAAGCTGAAACTTTAAAACTCTCTACAAAACAATGCTAAGAGTACTTGCTACCTGTGATTTCGTGTTGTAGGTATGTGCAAAGATGCAGTCCAGGAAGTGGAACGTGATCTCGTTGAAGTCTGTGATAGGCCTGCAAAACGAAGTTAGCTATGGAGTTCCAAGAGCAGAGAATCGAGTGAGATTACTTCACTGCAAAAGCGACAACTGTTCTCTTGTTCTGGAACGTCCGAAGGTGTCCGTGAATTCGTACATACTGTCCGTGCCTGAAGTTGGGAAATAAGAAAGCAGCGAGAACCATAACAAAAATAAGCGTCCAATTCATTTTTCTCTCCATTTTCCAAGTACTTACTGAATGCTGTGTAGCTGCAAAGCCTCGGGAGCATCCGGTGACTCGATCCTGAAACAAAGAAGAAAAACGAACACTATCAGAAAAGAAAAAAAAAAGAAAAAAGAGCTTTTGCTAGTACCATCTTTTCACTTCGACTCTGCCAGTTCCATCGTCAAGCATGAAGGAAATATCCGTCGCCCTTTCCTCTTTCCCGAGCAACATCCCCACCATCGTGACCTGCGTGAATTCTATCAGCAGAACAAGAAGAGAAAAAAAATTAAAAAAATAGCTCTTTCTTACATTGCTCATAGACTGGCCGTCCACAATAAGATTATCATCAGTAGACGATTGAATCGCCCGGCTCATCTGCTTCACAGTAAGCGGAAAGAGACCGCTGCTTGGAGCCCCAGATTTCTTTATAACGGACGAAAAACCGATCAATCCATCGCAAAGATCGCCAGAACAAGACGCTCTAAATCATACCTTCACGGATGGATCGCCGCCTCCAGTAGCGAAGCCGCTGGGCTGCGAGGGCATGAACCCCCCGCCCCCAAAATCCATAGCCGCATTGTCCCCATACATGACGCTCTTTAGGGTTCTAGCCTAAAAACCCAAAGCATATGCTTTTTCCCGCCAAAATCATCCACGTGTCCGACACGTGGATTCCCGCCCTTTCTTCATAGTTGAAGTCTAAATAAAACAATGTGCATTTTTAAGAAAAAATTGCAAATTTATTCTGATGAATCAATCCATCTAAAAATCCTATAAGAATGTTGATAAGATAATTGCCAAATAAACAATCCATCTAAACAATCCAAAAGAGTGTACATGGTTAAGATAATTGCAAATTTCTTTCGATTAATCAATCTATTCTATTGAACTGTATGGAAACAAAAGGCCATAGCTAGTGGCTGTGTGAGAATTTGGCACTTAGCCAAGATTTGCCTGCCAGCCCTATATTTGTTCTTTGTTGTTGTTTAGTTTGTTTGAGAGTTTGAGGAGGCGCGAAGCCAACCATGGAATATCACGAGGACAATAGACTAGGGCTGGCGTGGCATACCTAACGGCCGGATGTGACGCACGTTGTGGTTGTTTAACGGCGGTGACGCACGACACGTGGCAGGCGCCCGTTTGGATGTTTAACGCCACGTAACTTAAGCCACAAGGCGGCGGCCGACTTATTATTTCGGGGGATTTTTCTTGTAATCTTTGGGGGGTAAAAAGTTAATGTCTTGGCAGGTAAGTTTTATTCCATGCCATTTGCTTTGCTTCTGTTGGGAGGGAGGAAGGGTTTATGGCGATCTAGAGGAAGAATGTGAGTGATCTTGGAGCTAGGGCGAGCGATCCCGGAGCGCCAAGGAGGAATCTTGGAGTAAGTCTTTGCTGGATTGGTTTGATCCAGAAATAGGTCGCGGGAGGAGGAGGATCATATTTGGCGCAGGCCGGGCGCCGAAAAGCTCTGCGAGGATCATCGATCTCGAGGAAAGAGAGCGAAATCTCGCAAAAAGAATGCCTCCTCGGTCGTGCTCCAACCCGCAAGAAGTGTTTTCGGTGCGCCGGATCAACGCGCCCGGCAGCAAGAACACGCACAGGGTCCTCCCCAAGATGATCGACGCCGGCGCCGCCCCGATCGTCTACAAGATCCCGCCGGCGGCGCTGATCCATCATCTCCCGGGCGCGGCCACCGCGGCGGCATCCAGCAGCGATCACAATCTTGCAAGATCCAAGAAATTCTCGCTGGCATCGTCGAGCTCCTCGGCGAATCTGGGCGGCACGAGCAGTGACAGGAGCCCCCAGCGCAGCAAGAAGGGGTGTATGAAAGGCAAGGGCGGTCCACAAAACTCCCAGTGCCAGTATCGCGGCGTCCGGCAAAGAACTTGGGGGAAATGGGTCGCGGAGATTCGAGAGCCCAATCGAGGAGCGAGGATTTGGCTGGGGACTTTCACCACCGCCGAGGACGCCGCTGCTGCCTACGATCGCGCCGCGAAGATCCACTATGGCCCATCCGCCCAGCTCAATTTCCCCGAGTCGGGATCCAACTCCGGGTGTAGCACTAGCAGCTCCGCGGCATCCGATCAAACAGGAGTAGCAGTGGCGGCAGTGCCAGGAATTCACGCTGCTCCAGCGAAGAAGCTTTGCATCGAGAAGCCCAACAAGTCGAGCGATTCGAGCTCGTCGACGAGCTGCGTGGTGGAAGCGAAGAACACTGGGAGTGCTTTGAGCATCGCCACCAACACCAGCAAGAACAATGGTGGCACTAGCAGGATCGTGCCGAGCTCGCTGGTGGAGGAACCCAGCGAGAACAGAGCGATCCTCAAGCGCTGCCGAGAGGACAAGCTCGCGATCCAGATGAATTGCTCCAGCTGCTGCGACGTCGATCACAGGCAAATGATCACCCAGCCGGAGATCTTTAGCTCAGATTTCTCCGCGGAGCTGCCAGCGCTGGGTGGTGGGCTGACGATCATGGAGCAAGGGGACGATTTCAAGTGCCAGTCGATGATCTGGGACGAGGGCGATTGTGGTGGGAATAGCTTCAGCGTGAGCGATCTGGGGATTTGCTGCGACCAGGACGATGACCTCTCGGAGATCAACAAATCTTTCTCGGGGCTGGAGGCCGTGTTCTTGGATCAATTGTCTCAGCCCATTGGAAACTAAAAGAGGAAGAAAAGGAGCAAAAAAAAGAATGGTTTTTAAACTTTTGTTTCTTCCCGCCAATCATTGAAGAGTACAGTATAGTGCCCAAAAGCCCTAATCTCTATCAAGCATTGGTTTTAAAATGTATTTGGCGGGATAGGGTTTTAGAGGTGGAGCTAGGGTTTAGGGCGTGGTGGAGAAATGCTTGGCGCCCCGGCGCATCGGCAGCTCGGATTCTCGTCGCCAACGTTCTGCCAGTGGATATGGAGGTCGGGATTGCGCGGCGGCAGGGGCGCTAGGGCGCAATCGCGATCGCAATCGCAATGCGGGGGATTCATTCGCGTGTATTCCGTCGCTGCGAGCGCCAAGGAGAAGAAGAAGCAGCAGGCCAGGTATTCTTTTCATGCCGAGCCTGGCGTCAGCTGGATTTCGCTGGGATTGTCCGGGGAAATCTCACAGGCTGCTATGAAGGCGGGGTTTGATCGTCCCTCGGCGATACAGGTATGTTTGTGAGGAGAATTGTTTTTGTGTGTGATTATGGGGTAACAAGTTTGCTCTTCGTTCTGCCAGGGTGCTGCAATTCCTCGTATTCTAGAAGGTGGTGACGTAATTTTGGCTGCCGAGACGGGCAGTGGAAAAACTCATGCGTATCTCCTTCCGATTTTTCAACTCCTTGCAAAGTCGAATGAGGAATTCAAGGAGAAGAAAGCCGAGGACGAGAATGCTTACATTCCACGCAGCTTTGCTTTGGTTTTGTGCCCGAACGCTACCCTGTGTCAACAAGCTGCCGAGATGGCGACCAAGGTTTGCAGTAAGCTGGGTGATTTTGTTCGGGTTGCTGTCATAACGGGAGGTCAGGTACGTGAGAAAATGCTCACCCGAGTTCCTGATAATTTACTATGTTCTTTTCAGGGATGGCCAACATCGCCCCCAGATTTTGTGTTTGCTACACCGGGAGCCTTGATAAACCACCTCTTCAGCTTCGATCCAAAGCAAAAGCGTAGAACGGCTTTTTTAAGAGATGCCCGTTATGTGGTGAGTTGATTGTTCATTTCTATCTTCTGCCGAACTACATACTTAACGAGGTACACAGGTCTTTGATGAAGCGGATATGCTCTTATCAGGGGGTTTTGAACGGCAAGTGACCCAACGGTTGATTCCACTGCTCAGGCTTGCCGAGAAAAAGCTTGCTGCGGAGGAAAAAGCCATCCAGAAGCCGGGTAGTGAGCAAAAAAAGGAGGAAACCAAGCCATGGACCGACTTTGAACCTTCTAAAGAAGAGGAATTTGAATCCGACGGTGATTCTGATATGGAAAAGGAGATAGCCAGTGAGTGGAAGGAAGCGGCAGCAGACATCGATTCTGAGACAGCTACTGACTGTACTCCCGGACCAACAGAATCTGGCGGTGATGAAAAGGGGGACGACACTACAAAGAAAAAGCGCAAGACATACAGGAAAAAGTACAAAAGGAGCAAGCAATACATTTTTGTGGCTGCTACACTGCCGGTAGTAGGGAAAAAAACTCCTGCTATAATGCTCTCGTACCAATTCCCGGACGCTACCTGGGTCAACGGCGATTTCCTTCACCGACAAATTCCAAGGTAGTGTGTGGTTCTAGTGTTCTCGTAACTTATCGAGTTTCTGCTGCAGTGTAAAGCATCAGTGGATTGAGGTCGATTCTAAAAAGCGAGTAGAAGCACTTCTCAAAGCCATTGCCGCACGGCCAGAAGTTAATGAGGCAGGTCCGCCACCATCCTTTATGCGGACGATGGTGTTCGCGAACACCATCGAGTCAGTTACTGCCATTTCCAAAATTCTGGAGAAAGTAAACATCGTACCACTATGTTACCATAGAGATATCCCCTTGGAGGAGCGCACTAGCAACTTGAAAAGGTTTCAAGATGAAGGCGGGATACTGCTGTGTACAGATTCAGGCGCTCGAGGACTTGACATCCGTGATATTGGTCATATCGTCCAGGTGAGTAAAACAAAGTTTGAAAGCTTTTTACAACTAGCTCTTTGCAGGCCGAGTTTGCGTTAAACGCAGTCGATTATCTCCATAGAGTGGGAAGAACGGGACGGGCTGGTAATACCGGCGTTGTTACAAGTCTTTACACAGAATCCAGTAAACCGCTTGCGGACGCTGTCCGTATAGCAATTTCTGATGGCCAACCAGTGGTACTTATATGTTGTTCATGCGTTCCTTCATCTAAAGGTCTTTTAAAATTATTGCAGGAGGGAGCTTTCAGCAGGAAAAGAAGTTTCCGGAACAAGCTTAAAAAGAAAGGTAGGCTGCTGTTTCATTTTCCTTGAAATTTTATGTATTAACGGCGACACACAGAGTTGCAACAAGACCAATCTAAGGAGAGCTCTTGCGAGGAGTCCCCAACACCTCTCTGATGTCTTGTGGTTTGTGAGGCATCAGTTTCTATTTTGTAGCGTAGTGAGCTGTATTTTGTGATATTAATTCAAAGTCTGTCTGATGAGTTTGATAGGGGGGCGCATGCTCATATTGCCGGTCAGGATTTTCGTGCGGAAAGAGCTTGTTTTGTATGGACTTGTCGTTCCGGGTGAGGGAGTTGGCTTGCTGGAGTCCGGTTGCAGAATCCGATGTTCACGTCTTACGAAGGAAAGAATAAGGTAAGGTTTGCTGATGGTGACTCTGTTATTCTTTTTTGTTTGTACTGCCTAACCTTGTTGGCGTTCCTTCGCACAGAAACCGACTGGAAAGCTGGCTGTGCTTGGTGACTGAGTTTGACCGTGGATTGTTGAGGAAAAAAATTACACAGTTACACAACTGTACTGCACAGGTGAAAGAACATTCATTCTGCAATTTACAAAAGACGCCAGGAATTTGAGACCCCTCCAGGAATATCTTGAGGGTATGAGGAAATATCTGGCTTTGTTTCTCGTGACTCCTGTTTTTAAATGCTGTTTTTTTTTCTTTCCAGACATGATGAGCGGAGCTGAAAATCACAGTGTGATTGAAATGAAGTGGTCAGAAATATCACAACCAGGACCAAGTTGCGGATTCATGCCTTCTCTGGCCATCATGTTGCGGTTTTGAAGGACTTTATGGACAAACTTTCCGGGTTGCGCGTCTTCACAGCAGAAGACATCATGAAACGTAGTCGAGCTCTTCCTGCCAAAGTCGTCATCCTGCTTGAGACAGTCGAGGATCCATGCAGCTACCTTCTGTGCTAGAGAGCTCCCCAATATGGACAGTTCCAAGAGTGCCGATACTGCTCCGCAACGGGAAATTGCCTGTCTCAACGCACGGCTCCGGTACGCCATGGTCATGAGGACAGATACGGCCTTCTCTTGACACTGTGGAGCGTCAGCCCAGCCGAGAACGTCCACCAGTATGAGGACAGCGTCTTGCTTGTCGACAATAGCTCGCCGGCCTACTTCAGTTGCTGCTAGATTTCCCAGAAGATCTACTGCCGTTTCCACAAGCTCGGGGTGGTAAATCATATCTAGCAGGGACTGGATTATATTAGCGTCGACGATCACCTTAACGTTGCCGTGGAAGATGGAGAGATTGCACAGCGCTTTCAATGCGTCCTTTTTGGCTTTCAAGCTTGCTCCCTGCTTCAAGATATTGATGAGAGCTGGGACAGCACCAGAATGTCCAATTACGGGCTTGTTCACATCCAAAGCAGACAAGCTGAGGAAGACTGCTGCCAGGCCTTCTTGGACTGTTCCTCCCGATTCCTGAGAAAGTTTCACCATCTTCGGGACGGCTCCAGCAGTCACTATGGCAGCCTTGTTCCTGCAAACACCAATGGAAGGAACATATCAGCGACACCGACGATGTGGCGGAAATTCGAAAACTATCGCTACGACCGGACGGACGAAAAACAGGAACAGGAACAGGAACGAAACTGGGAAGGTGTGTGAGACGTGGAGAACTTACACGTTAGTTCCGATGGCGAGGCTGAGAAGTGCAAGCAGGGCCGTGTGTTGGACACCTTTATCGTTGGCGGAGGCATCCAGCATGGCGATAAGTGGTGTGATTGCACCCATCTTCACCAGCGTCATGCTTATCCTGGTGCTCGACTTTGCAAGCCGTCTCACTCTCTCCGCCGCATGCCTCCGGCTGGCCGAGTTACTGGAACCAAGCTCCTCGATGACCGGCTGCAAATCTCCCAGGACTTCGTCCGACTCGTCCGTGGACTGGGAGCTCCGGGCCTTTTCAAACTTAGGCGTGGCGAACAGATAACCGGAATTTGGATGGAGCATGTAGTGGTGCTGCAATTCAGCGCTCCTCCGATGGCGAGCTTTCGCCTCTCTGTGAAACTTCTGTTCGTCCTTGCCGCTGCTGGTGCTGGTGCTGGTGCTGCTGTTGCTGCTGCTGGTGCTGTTTCGCGGCCATGCATCCGACCTCCTGCTCCGGAGCGGCACCAAGCTGTGCTGGAAGTCCTGCTTCGGCCTGCAATATTTGAAGTTGTCCAGCATGGAAGAGAGGCTCTCGAAAACTTTCCGGGAATGCGATGGGGAGGGGCTACAACTTCCTGGCTTGGCATTAAGTAACGCGGACGGATCGTATTCCTTTGCCGGCATGCTGGGACGGATACTTCTTTGCTGTGGATGCGAGGAGCTTCAGTTGGAGGAAAGGAAATCTTCAGCCAGATATGAAACCGCCGGAGGCCAACATCATGCATTGGGTGATTGAGGAGAAGCAAATTCCCAGGCCACGCTTCATCATGGAACTCCCGAGTGCGCAAAGCCTTTGAAGAACGACACTGATATGGAAGAGTAATTTTTGTAGAAGACAAGGGAGCGCTTGTCTCGGCTCCTCAGCTGGAAAACAGAGACAGGGAAAACAAGGCAAAGCGAACGCTGCTGGATGGCATGATAGCAATCACACAGACGACATGAGTCAGGCCGAAACTGCGGAAGAAACGCAAAGAATCGATTTTCCGGAGACGAGACGACTTGGGACTTGCGGAGGAGGAGGAATTATAAGACGCATGCAAAGAGCGTGCTGCGGAAGAAAAACCTCGCTAAAACCTACACATATATCAAGCGCTGCTGCCGAAGAGCTCGCTCCAAAGGCGGACGAGAAGGAGGAAGGACTCTTGGGAGGGGGAAGAAAGCAGAGAAAGCGAAAGCGGACCACCTAACAGCGGACTTGCCAACAAAAAATGCGCTCTCTTTACCGCGCAATACAGAGCATCTGCTGCAGGAGTAAGAGAATGGAAAAGAGGGCTTTTCGCGGGGTAAGGAACGGACTGGAGTTGACAGTAAGTGCTTTTCTTTGTTAAACTTTGCTTTTCTCACTTTGAAGCTTTAGTTTTATCCACAGGTCGTCTAACTCCGTGCTTATGCTTCTGTGCAGAATGTTAAACTTTGCTTTTCTCACTTGGAAGCTTTTTTTTTTTTCTTTTTCTACAGTTCGTTCGTCCAACTCCGTGCTTAAGCTTCTGTGCAGGCAGCCCAGCCGGCAGCAGCAGTGTATAGCATCCAGGGGAGCACAGCCACAGGCAAGAGGAAAGGTGTCAAGTAAAGCAAGCGTGCTCCTGGTGGTGTGATGGATAGCACGAGTTATATACTCTGGCTGCGCATGGAGAGGATTCCATCATGCCGAGGCCTCTTGCATGGATTCCCTTGTTCCTGACGGACGGCTGCTCTCAAGGTAAGAACTAAGAAGAGATCCTCTCTCTTTTGCGTCTTTCTTACTTATTCCCTGTTCATGTTGTCTTCTTACACTCTTTTTTCTTTTGCCTTTCTCTCTCTTGCAGTCGGAGGGTAGTGGGAACGGAACTCGTAAAGGTTTACGACTGCTACTTGCTGGTACTTTTTCGAATTTTTCTAGTCGGCATTGTTTCGGTGCTTTGTGTTTCTTGCATATATTTCTCGTGGTTTTTTATTTTCCTTTACTGTTGTTGTTTTCTCTTTCTCTGTAGTGAGCTATGTAGCTGCTTCATCTTTATGTTTCGCTGAGTTATGTCTGTCGGTTTGGTGGTCCATGGTCGTCTGAGGCTCTACGAACCCGACTATTAAGTAGAGTCCTCGTTCCTGCGGTTCTTGCGTCTTCTTTCGGATCCTGGCTTGAAAGTTTCTGAGGCTACGTTTGCACCACCTCTCTGAGTTATCGAGCACTTCTTTTGAGCTGTTCTCTCTGGTTGGCATTTTGCATTTGTTTGTGATTTTAAAAACTCCCTCGTCTCTCGCAGATTTTGTTTTATTTACATGGTGGCTGCTTCCAGTCCTTTGACTGGCTAGCTAACTAAAACACCGAATCTTTGTGATCTTCCTCCGGCGCACCAAACGGCATTTGTGGACGTATCACAGGTACGGCGAGACGATGATGATTCGCCTTGTTGCTTTCTCGCTTTTTTCAAAAGCCTGATCCAAGGAAGGGGCGGTGAGTGGTGTGAGGTGAATTTTTCTTCCCCGCCCCCCTTCTTTCAACCAGGGGTATCAGGCTGTATTTGGAGCAACAAGCAAGGTGAATCTCATTGATTTCTCAGGTTTTCTATTACTTTTCAAACTTTGGGAGCAACAAACAGGGGTCTCTGCTTCCATAATGCGGAGTGAAGAAAATGGCACATCAGCTCTTTCCTGCGCTTTGGGAGGCAAACGGAGCTCGCTCGAAAAGCCCGTCCGGGTGTAAGCGGGTGATGGAATGAGGTAACAAAAGGAGCCTTTTCTCTTTTCAAGGCTTTTAGAATCTTGACATTGCAAACACGTCGGTTTTAGCAGCTCGGCGTTGTTTTATCCCCTAGAGCTCTGGGGAAAGAACAAGAACATCTCGGGGCCTGGTAATTAAGTGAAATTCTCCTCGTTGGTGATCTCTCTTGTTGGTGATTGCAGTGAAGGCTAAATGATAGCAATTATGCGAAAAGAGAAAACTCCTCGCACTCCAACACCAGGTAAAATCTCACTCTAGGATCGTTGATTCAAGCTCAAGTTTGGTGGTTCCCTCTTTTCTCTTTTCTCGGTTTGTAGGTGTGTTAGAGAGCAGCATCAAAGGCCACCACTTGAGTGTGTTTCCTCCGAATGGAACCAGAGAGGCCAAGAAGCTCCATAAAATCATCGTCCACCATCACCACCACCACCACCACCAGTGGCAAAGAAGAATAGAATCGTCCCAAGAGACGATTAAAATACGAATACAATGGATGTCATCCTTGAGTTCGTCACCTTCACGTGTCAGCCCTCTTGGCTTTCATGTGTGAGCCACACGGGGAATAACCACCACTGGATCTCCAGTCGTGGCTTTTGGAGACCGCCATTGCAGATATGCATGAGAAAACCAACAAAATCCCCAGAGAGAATTAATTGATTCTACTTCATCCTTCTACACCTCCTTTTCTTTACAGTTTTCTCTTTTCATCTCTGTGCATGTAGCTCTGGAAGAAATTGGGTTAAGCTTCTACGTCAACCTCTCTATAAGTTGATGATATGCGCGTCGGAAATGATAAAGAACTTCTTGCAACTTTTTTCTTTCTTTGCGGGGAGACTTTGTCCAGTATGGATTAGACTGGATTGGAGTGAAACGATGGATATGTGAATGGATCGAGCTATGCTAGCTTCGGGGGATGTGAATCACAGCTTGGCCGCGAAGACTATGGAGATTTCGGGGCTTTTGTTTAAGTCTTGGGGTGTAGAAGTTTAGATTATCTCGGTGCGGGAAATTAAACCTCATCATGCACTGCGAGAAAGAAGTTGGTTAGATCATTCCAAAACCGAGACCATTGTTTCTTTTCAGGAAAACAAGCTAGAGGATTAATATTATACATGGATGGATCTTCTACCTTCCACCATGGATTATTGTAAACTAACAAAGCATCACGCACGAGTGCAAAGTGGCTGTCTACATTTCAAATTCAAATTCTAATAATAATATTATTACTAAAATACTAATACTAATTATTATTTTCTAAAGGCACATTTTGCTTATGGTTTTGTTTGTTTGGAAAGCTTCCAAGCACTCATTTGTAAACAAACAATCACTTGGGCTCCAAGCTTTTAGATTAACAATTCAAGCTTTTGGTTAAGAATTCAAAAGCCTAGCACCTTTCCAGTGAAGATGACTTGTACCATAGGGATAGAAAATTTCTCCTCTACCGAAAGAGAACATATAGCCTGGAGGACTGGAGTGGAGCCATGCCTCACCAAGATTTTATAAACTCTCCTAGAAACTAGAGTTAGATGTTACTTTTCTTCCCTTTGTCAACTAGGAAACTTGGCTTTGGCTTTCCAGTGGAAGACATGTCACACAAGCACCTCTCACTCAAATAAAAGTCCACAAAAAATATAAGAGAGAGATAGAGATAGAAGAGAACCTGTGCATTGCTTTAAGTGCTGGCATACTTAGCAATGGATGATAGCTTTCGTAGCCACTAGAAGCATCTCCCCAAAGAGCTCTCCAAACAGTAAGATAGCTCTGGAAGAAAAACCCGTGAATTCTCGAGAGAGAAAAGCTATACCTCGAAGAACAGGGCATGATCTTGACAAGCCCGGTCCTCTTTGACAAGCCCCGGTCCTTTTGATCGCGTCATTGCTCTTTCTACTTTCTCGTCTTGGCGGCTTCTCGAGAGATATGACTTTGTCACGATCCCACCAGGGAGTAGCGAGTGGAGATCATTGAAACAAGCCACCTGTGTTGTGTGTGATTTTTAAGGATGCCTGCATGGCACACCAAAGACAAGTTGTGAGGTACTTGACAAAGAACTTTTTACCTGGAACCCACGGATCTTTGCATCTCCCTCCTTTTGTTTTGTTTTTTCGACGTTGCTCCCTCCTTTCGTTATCACCAGAGCTCCATCGGCTCGCCCTCCAGCTCCGCCTTTGGTGTCTCCAGAGCCTTCGGTTTAGGCCCAGCTTTCATCTTTTCCCTGGCCCATCTGTCCTCTCGCCGGTTGAAGCCCGTCTCTGCATTCGACGGCCTCTTCTTTGGCTTCTCCTCGGTCTGGTGGACGATCGTGAAACCAGGAGTCTCGAAAATCCGTGCGTAGTCGTACACCAGAGCCTCTCGCGTGGAGACCGCCACCCCCTCGTATGTCCACACCTCGATGACTGCCTCGCCTTTAAGTCCCAGGCCCACCCAGCCCAGTCCCGCGACCGCGATATCTACCGTGCTCGCTTCCCAGTCGTCGCCATGGACTCGAAACTTTTGAGATACGAATTGTCCCTGCTCGATCCAGCTTTTCAGGCTCGAAGGAGGCTAGCGATGGACAAAACCGGGAATTAGACAACAGGAAGTGGACAAAACCAGCAAACCTTGAGCTCCACGCCGATATGCTTCTTGAAAACATCGAGCGCACGCTCGGTCTTTCCCATGTGCAACGAGATGAAAGGTGACGCCCACACTGTCATGTATATCGTGCGGGCGGGAGCTTCTAAGAGATCCAGTCTCAAGTATCCTCCCACTTGGATGCTGTGGCCAACCTACATTGATACTACAGCTTTAGAACGTAGACGACCTCAGCGGAAAAACGTTACCTTTATGCGGAAGGTTCTGGGCTTGAGCTCCTTTCGCATCTGGACGCTCTTGAAGTCCTCCTCGTTGAGCCGCATCGTGAGCTGGTGCGAGTGGAAAATGCCGGGCGTGTCGTAGAGCTTGATGTTCTGCGGGAGGATCCCTGTTATCTTGAGGATTCCGATCGTAGTCCCTGGATGTGCCGCCTCAGTGAGGCGGCTCTCGTGCTTCCCAACGTTGAAACGTGCCAGAGCATTGATGAGCGAAGATTTCCCAGCGTTCTGAGCTCCGACAACCCATACGTCGCCTCGAGGCCCAGCAACTTTTGTGATCCTCTCGGTCAGTGCCTGTACACCCCAGTTCTTTGTCGCGCTCACAAGATGGACTGCAGTCGGCCGAGGAGCTCCGCCAATGATCACCCTCTTCCTTATCCACTGTTCCAGCCGCATCGGTGAGAGCTGCGGGGGCAGCAAGTCGACTTTCGTTGCAGCGACTATCAGTCGAGGCGAGTTACCGGTAAATCCAGTTCTGTAAGTAGCAGCCATCTGTGCCTCAACCTCAGAGATCAACTTGGCGACTTGTCGAGGAAAAGAGCCGTCGAAGTCTGATGAATCGACGACCATGAGAACGACGGCTCGTTTACCATAAGCTGTTTTCAAGCGCTGGCCGACCATCTTGTCAAAGTCGAACGTCGGAAGTAGCGTCTCGGCTGTTTTCTCTTTCACGCGCCCATAGTACTTTAGCGAGTGGCACCGCGCGCACACCACAAGCCGTTCCTCAGACGGCTTCTCGCGCTTGAACGACTTCAACATATCTCTCCGTTTCTTCCTTTCATCCGCCTCCTCAGCCCCGTCGATGATATCCTCCCATGTCTCCTCCAGACTCTTCACGTCATTCTTGTGGTAGTCACTCGGGGGAGTGAACTCCCGGTACTCCTTCTCTGTCATCTCTCCTTTGACGAACTCGAAGTAAGAGTAGCTAGAGTCAGCTTCTTTCTTCTTTTCCGGCGGCCCTGGCACTGGCTCTCCGCAAGTCGCTTCTAGCCTCGCCATCTCTTCCGGCGTAATAACATCTCGGTCAATCTGGACGTCGAGCTTGATAGGAACTCTAAAGTATCCCGGCTGCAAGGGATCCGTGTCTTGCATGTAGACACCACATCCCGGACAAATCAACGCTGCATCACCATCTTCCGCGTCGGCACGAGCTCTAGGCGGGACTGGATACGCCGGAATGTAAGCAGCTATTGCCTCCTGACGAGCCTGCCTCACAATCGCGTACTTGTCACTGGCCGGATCCTTCTTCAGTCCTATGCGTCTCTGGCTGCGAGATAGAAACGTGTTCCCAAGCCCCGGACGAAGTGTATGAGAAGCCGGAGGCTCCACCACCGTGAGAGCGTCGACCACCGTGAGCGCATTCACCACTGTCAGTGCGTTGGAGCAGAACGCTCGTCTCGCCACCCGGAATTCTCCCAGCCTGGGACGTCGAAGTTTCATCCCCTGACACTGCCCAGGAAAACTCTGGCACTGAGCACGCCTGACGAGATCGCCCATGACGCAAAACGACGCTACCCTGTTGTGCATCTCTGCCTAGTTCCTCTCTACACCACCTTGTTCTTCCTCCACTTCTTCTTATTCTTCTTCCTTGGTCTTCCTCTTTTCCTTCTCTTTAGTCGTAAGTTCCACTCTTGGGGTCGGGTCCAACGTCGCGAGAGCCACTGTTCACATAAGGTCCTCTCATTATAGCACTTCTAGAGAGCGGCTTGTTTGCATCAATGATTGGCGCAGTCTTCCATTTGCTGCAAGCATCAAGAAGCATGAATCACAGAACGTATCACGAGAACAACACACACTACAAGAGAAAAAGCAAAGAAA